GGTGTGGGTGTGGGTGTGGGTGTGGGTGTGGTGGGTGTGGGTGTGGGTGTGGTGGGTGTGGGTGTGGGTGTGGGTGAGGGTAAAGGTAATGGTTTGGGTGTGAGTGTGAGTAAGAGTGTAAGTGCGGGTTTGGGTTTGGGTGCGCATGAGAACATGGTTGTGGCTGTCGATGAGCCTATCTTTCTTGAATAGACACTCACACCCACCCACACCCACTTAAAAAAATGCTAGCAACAACTAGATAAAGTTTTTTTTACATGTGAGAAACGATGCATAAATATTTAACGAGCACGTGGTATAGCGAGCGACTCTCCGGCGAGCAAGTGTCCGTTTTTCTATGGAGCCAAGCAATTGTCCTACGAGCATGTATCCGGCGAGCAAGTGTTCACGAGCAAGTGTCTAGCGAGCAAAAGTACTGCGAGCAAGTGTCCTAGATTCGTCCTATACATTGTCTGATTGACTATAAGCATTTTAAATTGATTGATGTGTAATCAGCAGAAAAAAGAAAATAAAGGTCTATCAATAATTTTTTTCTCGTAAAAAAGTCATTGTTTTACTGCGCAAATTATGATCACATGGGTTAAAATTATGTCTTTTTCTATTTTGCAATAGCACGACTGATCTCTATTTTTACTTATAATGTTATATTTTCGAAATAATAGATACACATGTTGCTTGTACAGGTAAATTATAAAAGAACGTTTCATAGTTCTTTTGAACTATTTAAGAAAAAGTATTTAACTGTTGATGTTCATATTAGAAGAGAATGATTTCCTTTAAATATATTCAATTATCTTCTCGATTCCAACGATAGTGATAATTGATCCCAACCAACCACGTTTCATCGAATAAAATGATTGAAAAATTTCATTTCTTCAACATAAATTCGTTTCAAGTGGAACGATAAGAAAACTAAAGAAAGTTGTTTCTGTTTTTTATTAGTTTATAATATAAACATGATTATTTATCTTCCATTAACTTTCAAAAAAAGAAACACAATCAAATTACAATCATTATATTCCGACTCGTTTTTTCTACATTTTGCTTCGGATTCTTGTAGGAGAAATTTTAAGAACAAAATACTATTTTTGGTACGATATGTAGATATTCATCATCTATACGATTAAATAAATTTGCTTGATCAGAAGAGAAATGGATTATATTTGTAATGAATTCATATTCAATATTTGGTAGTGTAATTTTAAAGAATGAAGCTAGATTAGAAAAAAAGAAAAATAATGAAGTGAAATTTGATGTAACTTACCAAGAGCTGAGGCATCAGATCGACTGAACTGACAATTTATCATCTTCGTATGGAAGACTAGAATTATGAATCACTTCAGGTAATGTATGGTAGAGTCTTATAAATGATGTCTATAGTAAGAAGAAAAATGAACGATATTAATGTAATGAAGAAAAGCTTCAATAATAATAAAAATTGTTCTTCAAAACACTCTTTAACGCAAACTTTCACTTTAATATGTTCTGCTTTATCCAAAAACGAGCCAAATTTAAGATACATAAGACTTCCTTCTATATCAATTGATTTTGATCAGAACAAGATAATGATCAATCACTCACCGAATGTCCCTTTTCGAGACAAAATTGGTGCATAAGTTTTTTCACAGACAAATAAATTTCTTGTGCATGTTCACGTGCAATGGTATGCGATGCAGCTTTCATGGACATATTGTAGCTTTTAATGGTTTAATTTGTTGATTCTTTCGTCTATTTTTGAACCATAGACGAACAAATGTCGAATACTCTTTCGTAAATCAGCGTAGTTTTGCATTTCTCCCAAGTTAGAATATAAAATGATGATAGTAATTTTTCATGGTATGTCTATCCATTTATTCATGATCAACTATCGGGCAACCAATGTTCCACAGAAAGGAAAGATACCTAGGTCGATCATTCAGGCCATGTGAAACAAAGTAATTCCTGCCGTAAGCTGCTAAAATGGAGTGTTGGTGTGGATGAATGCTCATAGTTATATCTAGAAGAAACAAATCAATGTATATATTTATATTAATTTACACCATTTTAACAATTTTGCTTAGTACAAACGAATCATTTATCTTTGTTACTCAGTACTTTTAATTCTCGATTGTATTTATTGTTTGTATGTCGATAATTGTGGTTTGTTCGATTGTATTACCACGAATAAAACTTTTTTTTAAAAATTAGATGAATTAATAATTAATAGTTTTTCTTTATTACGATTATCAATTATGATGAAGTGGAAATATTTTATTATGTTAAATAGATAATAATTTTAGATAAATTTTAATAGTTTTCTTCTGATATATATTAGTTAACAGATTCCATATAAGAATAACACTGCTTTTGTTTATCAGTCTAAGATAATTAAAACTATACTGAGTGTGAAGAGATAGCCGGATCTCTATAGTGGCAATTGGTGAACGAAATTCTATTAGTTAAAGAGAGAAATAATCGATGTAGTGGCATCATTAATTCCAGGTAAGTTCATATGTATATGAAGAGGCCTCGACATAATTAATTTATTCATAGCTTCTTTTCGATACTGAGCAGATAAATGTCTGCATTTATTTTTTTCTAATTATATTTATTATTCTTTTGCGGAATTATGATTTTCAATATCGACTAACACAATAAAAACGCTACGACATCTTTCTTCGTACCATTCCTAAAAAAATTTTGATAGTTCTAAAACAAGTTATTTTATTACAAGTTCTGTGCCGACTGTTTGTTTGAAGTATGTGTCCTAAATAATAAAAGATAAATATCTCAAAAAATATAAAGTTTTAATCAATGTATGTAAAAAGAGGTCTATTTTTCTTGAAATTCTTTTATAAATTGAATAAACTTTTGTTTCATTTCAAATCTTTACTTATCTGGATAGGAACAGAGAGGTGAAGAAACAAAGAAAAGCAAAATATACAACCTCGTCTTTCCATCGCCATAACGTTTTTATTTACATATTCTTCTACCAACACATTTGTCACTGACTGTATTGATAAGAACGAAAAAAAAAGATGGTAACAATAATAAAAATACGTTATTGTCTTGCTTTTTGTTTGTTCGTTGCCAGTGAATTAATTTTGTTGATCACTAATAGTGGTCATATTTGCATACTTACAGACGAAGCCAAACAAAAACATGTGCTTGGTGAATCAATGCTTCTATTAAATTTCAGCTTTTTTTTCGCGGAATGATTTTATGTCTTGTAAGCAACATACATACACTTTTGTCTTTTCGACAACAAAAAAAGTGTTTATATTTTGAAAAGATCTGTGAAAACGTGCCAAGCTATATGTAGTTCAAGAGCAAAAACGATTAAAAATGGATGTATGTTGTATTTTCATCATGAGAATCTTCGCTGAGTACATATCGAACATATCTGGTCAAAGAATCATGAGATCATGAATAGATCTCTGTTGAAAGCTCTTCTCTAGATGTAATTGAAATCTATAATTCATTTGTAAAATAATAATAAATAATAAGATTTTCTTTACTGCAGTTTGTGTTGTCACTAGATCTGTTCAAATTATTGTAAACTATTCTTTTATAGTTTGCTTCATATTTTATGTTATTCATTATTGCATCGTTGCCAAGAAAACAAAACGGAGATTTTTTTTTGGTCGGCTAGGTTTACAAGAAATGATTTCATCGGACAGTAGTTTTTGATTTATTTAAAAGGTAGTGATATATTTATACATTTGTATACCGATCAGAAAAGTATTATAATGACTATTGTTCATACTTATTTGAAATTTATAATTAATGGAAGATGGAAAATGATACATAATCAAGTCTTTTTTCCGTTCATTTGATGACAAACGCACGTTTTTAAACATAAATATCTGCCATCAACAAACATATTTTCAAACTTGCAATTCATCAAATATTTGATCATACAAAAAAAGCTTTTTTCAACTTGCTGATTCTCAAATAACAAACATCACTTAACAATGTTTTTCTCTGCGAGAACAAATAAAATCATTCTTCTTCGCGGACTATCTCGATGTTTATTTTTCATGGTAACATCAAAAAGCAGCTAAAGAAAAAAATAACATTTCGAAAGGAAGTAGACATCTATAAAAAGAATTGTTTTTGTTCATTACTTCACCAGTAAATCTTACACAGTAACTCCAATTCAAACGATTCACATACCAAACAATGAACGGAGAAAAATCAACAACAAATGCATCGGTAGTTTCAAAAGATGCAGACGATCGCCGACGTACCAATCTCCAACAGGTACAAAATGTTCTTCTAATCTGGTTAGACAGTAACATCGATGAAACAAATGATGATTGCCAAAATACAATCATAAAATTACGACGTGCTGTTAATAATATCAAGACATATACAAACGGTGATCAATGTCTCGAATTCATTCAAACCATCATCGACAAAAAGGTATGCATGATTATATCTGGATCACTTGGACAACATATTGTGCCTCGTGTGCACAATATGTCTCAAGTGGATTCAATTTTCATTTTTACTGACAACCAAAAACATCATGACCAATGGGTCAAAGACTGGCCCAAAATAAAGGGTGTTTTCAAAGATATTGCACCTATCTGTGAAACACTCAAGGAAGCTGCACATCAGCGTGAGCAGAATGCCATTCCCATCAGTTTCATGGGATTAAATAAAAAGTTGGATCAATTAGACCCGTCTTTTACGTACACTCAAACCATAAAGGAAATTTTATTAACCATCAAATTCGGCCAAAACCATATACAGGATTATATCGGTTATTGTCGCGATGCCTTTGAAGGTAATACGAAGGAAATTGAAAATGTCAAACAATTGGAAGGTGAATACCACAACAAAACACCCGTTTATTGGTACACCTGCCAAATGTTCTTGTATCCCATGCTCAATCATGCATTACGACTGATGGACGGCAATATTATTATGCGTATGGGCTTCTTTATTGGTGATTTGTATCGACAAATTCAACAACTACATCATGAGCAATATGCCGGTACAACTGCCGCTAACACTTTCACCGTTTATCGTGGTCAAGGTTTATCTACAGGGGATTTTGAACAAATGAGCAAAATTAAAGGTGGTATTATTTCATTCAATAATTTCTTATCTACTAGTAAAGACCGTGAACTCTCCTATGCTTTTGCTGAAAACAATCAAGCCAATCCGGATTTAGTTGGAATACTTTTCGTTATGGAAGTGGATCCATCTCGATCAACAACATCTTTTGCTTCAATTGCTGGTATTAGCAAGTTCCAAGAAGAGGAAGTCTTGTTTTCAATGAATAGCGTGTTTCGTATCCTGAATATTACACCGATGAGTGAAAATAATCGATTGTACGAAGTTAATTTGGTACTAACTGCCGACAATGATCCAGAAGTGCAGAAGCTTACTGATTACATTCTAGAAGAGAGTTATCCAGACGCTGAAGGATGGTACAGATTGGGTATGGTATTACGTAAAATGGGCCAATTTGATAAAGCTGAAGACATTTATCACGTTTTACTTGACCAAGCAAGCGATGATGAAAATAAGGCACCTGTTTATGATCAACTTGGTTTGATCAAAGATAATCAAGCAGAATATGAAGAAGCACTTACATTCTGTGAAAAATCACTTGCTATCAGACAAAAAACTCTTCCTACCCATCATCCTGATTTAGCTACTTCCTACAATAATATTGGTAATGCGCATTATAGCATGGGTAATTATCCGAAAGCACTTTCATCTCATGAAAAAGCCCTTGAAATTCGACAACAATCACCTCTTCCCAATCATTCTAGTTTGGCTGATTCCTACAATAATATTGGTAATGTGCATTACAAGATGGGTAATTATCCAAAAGCACTTTCATCTCATGAAAAGGCCCTTGAAATTCGACAACAATCACATCCTCCCAGTCCTACTGACTTGGCGATGTCTTATAATAACCTTGGTAATGTGCATGATAGCATTAGTGATTATCCAAAAGCACTTTTTTATTATGAAAACGCCCTTGAAATTCGACAGCAATCACTTCCTTCCAATCATCCAGATCTGGCTGTTTGCTATGGTAACATTGGTAGTGTGTATGCCAAGATGGGTAATTATCCAAAAGCACTTTCATCTTATGAAAAAACTATTGAAATTCAACAACAATCACTTCCTTCCAATCATCCTGATTTGGCTGCTTGCTACAACAATACTGGTATAGTGCATTACTACATGGGTAATTATCCGAAAGCGCTTTCATATCACGAAAAAGCCACTGAAATTCAACAACAATCACTTCCTTCCAATCATCCTGGCCTGGCTGTTTCCTATGGTAACATTGGTAATGTGCATGCCAAGATGGGTAATTATGCAAAAGCACTTTCAGTGCGTGAAAAAGCCGTTGAAATCCAACAACAATCACTTCCTCCCAATCATCCTGATTTGGCTGCTTCATACAATAATATTGGTAATGGATATTACAACATGGGTAATTATCCGAAAGCGCTTTCATATCATGAAAAAGCCCTTGAAATCAAACAAAAATCACTTCCTCCCAATCATCCTGATCTGGCTCTGTCCTACAACAATATTGGTGCAGTGTATGAAAACATGAGTAATTTCTCAAAAGCCCGTACATTTTATAAACATGCTATAAAAATTGGAGAACAATCATTACCTTCAAATCACTCAAATCTTCTGCAATGGAGAAAGAACCTCAAACTTGTGAAAAACAAATAATGAATTGTACTACTATGATTTTTATGAAAAAGAAAAAAGAAGTTTTTTTAAACAAGAAAATAATTATTTTAAATGCGCGCGCGCACAGTGAAACTCTGATCTTGTTGAGATTCAAATAGGTTGCAACATCATCGGTAAGGTAAATAACACATATCAATAGACATGTATTGTAGAAAAAGGACGGTATTTATTCAGCAGTATGAAGTATTCTTTCTGTTCCAATGAAAAGAATAATTAATATGTATCGAACAAATGACCGAAAGATAGAAAAATAAATGATTTCTATAGATATCGATATAACATGGAACAGATCAGTATGTTATTAAGAATAGAAAAACGTCTTAACTCAAATCAATTGAACGAAATCAAATGAATATATATATGAAGTGTCATCAACGACATAAACAATGGAAAAAATGAGACAATCATTGTAGACATACATATTTTATTGTTCATATAATTCAGAAGAGTCATTATATGTAACATACAATGAATATGATGACCAACAGATTATATTTATTTCAGTAAAATATATGTTAGGCAGTCAATTCTTATCATAGAATGAATAAAAACAGTGGGTGTGGGTGTAAATATTGCTATTTTCTCACACCCACCCTCTTGCTGAATGATATTAAACATTATTTGTCTCATTTCAGTTTATAATATTTAGTATTTTGTATTACATCTTCAGAATGAAAACATTACAGAAAAATTATGAATTTATCAGCAAAATTGCATATGAACCGATTCCCTATAAAACATATCTATTTTTAACCTTGTTTTTATTAAATTTTATTTGTTTAAATTAATTAAAAAAGTAATAACTACAAAGAACGAACGAACGAACAAATGTGTAAGAAAAAAATTTATTTCATTTCCATTTTTAATGGTAATTGAAGTATTTGACCTTTTGTAAATTCAAGATTCTATAAATAGAGAAGAAAAAGATATTTATATAAATAATTTTTAAACAAAATAAAATGTTTACTTCGCCAGCATAAGATATTAATGGTGAAATTTCAACAAAAATTCCATTTGAATTACTATCATTGTCATGAAATTTATCGGCTCTAGAAAAAAAAGTAAAATATGAGTAGTCTTCTTTAAAATAGATTGTCATACAAGATAATTTGTTTAGAAGTATTTGGTGGTAATATAGCACCAGCTGCTTGAAGCCAACGAACATGTTGAAGCATTAAATCTCTTCGACATGTTACTGCTGTATCTTTTGTTCCTGAACCATTTTTTAATGGTGAAAATTCATCATCACGACGTGCTTCCCAAACAAAAAAATTTCTAATTGATAAAATAGAAAATTTTACATATTTTCAATAATTATTTTCAATGTTTGTTTACTTTGCACACGAAAATACGTCAAAGACAAATTTTTCTAGTTTTATTCCATTAATTTCAGTTGGTTTATTGATACGTTTACCATCAGTACCAATTGATGGAATTTTCTTTTTTGCAATATGAAAACAAAGTTTATTTTCATGATTTCTAAAATTTGAAATAATTAGAAAAGAAAAAGTAATTAAATTGATTATTTAATTCTACATACTGGCAAACATCTCGAAGAAAATCAAAAGTAAAAAAATGATTGCAAATATTTCCAGCATTAAATAATAAATCTCCACTATCATCAGATTTTGTTTTTTGTGCTGTTTTTTCGGAGATTTCAGAATATTCAACAACTTGAAAATGATCTCGTACTTTACATATAACACCGACAGCTTCATCAGGAAATGTTTTTTTAACAACCTAAAACAAGATTTATTCTAGAAAATGAATATCAGTGGAATAATTTATACCTTGGCAGCACATTCAGCTTTTTTATCTAGACAAAATCCGATAAATACTGGATCAGCAACACGAACAAGAATATTATCCACACAATAAACATGAACATATTTAATATCACGTTTTTCCATTTCAGATAGCATACCACGTGTTTTTAATGCACGATATAAACCACCATTACCATCAGCTGCTTTAGTTAATTTGTGTTTATCATCAAGTAAAATTTTTCCTTGAAAATCTAATGCAGGTAATGTATGTTGTTCAAAAAAAATTACATTTTGTGGTTTTAAACCAAAATAATCGTGTTCAATAAAATAATCTTCTGTTGATTGTCGTGTATGTTCACTTGTCATAATAAACCATGGAATTGTTGCTTTCTTAGTATTAAATTCTTCATTAGCTAATTGTTCAAGTCGACGAATACGTTCAGCTTGAATATGATAAAGTGATTTTTTTGATGGTAAACCAACATCATACATTCCTTTTGGATAATCAACACCTATAACAAAATTCAAATTATAAATTTAAGAGTAAATACAATATTTACCAAGACGAGTTCCTTGACCTCCAGCAAGTAATAATACACATACGGAACCTTCAGCAATAGCTTTTAAACCTATTCAATAATAAATACGAAATTCTATATATTAGTTTATGATATGATTAAGATTTCAACTAACCTTCTCGACGATAAGTTTCAAGTTGTTCTTTACTTGTTTTATCAACAGATCCAGTTAAATGTTCAGGAATAGGTTCCATAAGTTGATCAATTGTTTCACCATGTTCATTCTTATCAGTAGATGTTTCAATTAATTGATCTTTAATCTCGTCAAAAGCTTCTGTAATACGTTCGAGATCAATACTATTTATATCTCGAAGAAGTATTGCTCGTTGTTCATGATCAAGTTGATCCCAATAAGATAATAAATGTGATTGATTTGAATTTTTTAAACGAAGTGTAATACTTTGATCGATATCCATCTAAAATTAATAATAAATAAAAATGTTCTAGTTTATTTCGTAAATTGAACTAACTAGGTCGATGAAATAATAACAACTGATCGATCGACTAGAATTTTATCCGTCCGTCCGTCGATCTATATAAAGATATTCTTATATGCTTTGTGTCTTTGTTCATGTTGAATAAATGTATAGTCAATTGAATATTTTGTTTAATATAAAGTAAAAGATCAAGTTTATTTGATATTGTATATGTTCTATATAGATGGCGTTAGTTTTGAGATTATCATTTTTAGTAGTATACCATTCTTCATATAAAAAGTGAACAAAACATTTATACGTATTGTTTTTTGATATTCTAATATATGATAAATGTTACTAGTTTTTATGTTTGAGAATGTATTTCAAAGGAGAAAAACTCTCCTGTTTGATGTCTTTATAATATTTATCTTTTATCAGTAAATAAGCAATTGAACAATCATTGTTGACCTTGATTCATAATTTATTATCATTCATTGTCTTGGGAACACTATGTATAATAAATCGTAAAACATCATCAATATTCCGTCAACGTCGATGATCAACATTGCATATACAAACTTATAATAGTTTTTTTTTTGGTTCAAATCTATTCATATTTCTTATTTTATTTGCATATAAATGACGTTTCTATACTCATCATCATCATCATTATTATCTCCCGGATTATATTTTAAAATTTATTATTCGATATTCTCCACTTTCATTATTTCTTTTATGAATATAAGCTGAGTTCTTTTTGTTCTGTTATTTTTCTAATATAGAAATAACAAAGGTAATGGTAGGTACTATGATGAATTATTGATCGATGTCATATTTTTCTAGAACCATGACGAACACATAACGATCAAGATCGGAATAATTTTTGGTCGACATGATTGGCGGTAGTAAAGAATAGAACTTGTAAAGAAAGAAAGAGAAATGAAAGGAAAGGACCAAAAAAATAAGAAAAACTGCATGTATGTTGGATAAGGCGGACGGAACAATTGTCATTTTTTGTTGATCTCCTGCTCTATTTCTCCTTTCTTTTCCTTTTTCTTCTCTCTCGTTTGCACTATATTTACGAGCTTTTTTTTCTTGAGTGATAGCAGTTGTTGCATATAGTAGACTCGACACTCCATTATATACATATGCGTTTTTTGCATGTTTGTATATGAGTTACTAAAAATATAAATGAGTTAATTAAGTGAAGTAGAGATAAAATAATAAATTAAGTAATATATGCTTGCGTTCATATTAATGATGCTAGTCATCTGAAATATCACACATAAGGTAGCTGTTAGCAAATAGACATCTGTATACTCATATGCTATCCAGATTCTACGCTTTCTTTTTATGATGCACGCTCGAGTATGTACTATGGAAAATGATGCTAATGGAATGCGTAGGAGAAAATAAAAATAAATGAGGAATTAACACAATGAGATGTTTTGATTATCATTCCTATCGATTGCCCTCCCATTGTCTGATATTGAAAGGCATAACCTTTTTTTTTATCTCTTATTCGTTTAGTTATTAGCCATGATATACGAAGACGTATTCATATTTCTACAAATTTTTAACAATAATAAGAAAGGTATGTCAAATGAAATAGAGAAGAAGAAATTCATTTTCGTGTAACATAAGAATTTCTAATTCTTTTATCTTTCTTTCTTTTCAATAGATTTTCAATGAATATTACTACATCTTCTCCTTCGTCTTCTTCCATTGATTCATCATCAGTAGTTGTAAAAGAAGAGAAAGAAGAGGAAGAATCAAAAAGAATAATAAATGATCAAAAATCTTCAACATGTGAATTAATCAAAGATCAAGTATTTGAAGTTGGACCACGTTATACTGATTTAAAATATATTGGTGAAGGTGCATATGGAATGGTTGTATCAGGTAGTGATAATCGAACAAATCAACGTGTCGCAATTAAAAAATTATCTCCATTTGAACATCAATGTTTTTGTCAACGAACATTACGTGAAATAAAAATTTTAGCAAGATTAAAACATGAAAATATTATTAATATACAAGATATTATACGTTCTAGTGTTTTTGAACAAATGAAAGATATTTATTTAGTACAACAATTAATGGAATGTGATATGTATAAATTAATAAAACATCAAAAACTAAGTAAAAAAAATTAATTTAATAGAATTTTATCAGAAATGTGCTTTTTTTCTGTTCTAAAGGTTCAGAACATGTTTGTTATTTTCTTTATCAAATATTACGTGGTTTAAAATATATTCATTCAGCTAATGTATTACATCGAGATTTAAAACCATCAAATCTATTGTTAAATACGAATTGTGATTTAAAAATATGCGATTTTGGTTTAGCACGTATTGCAGATCCATCATTTGATCATAGTGGTGTATTAACTGAATATGTAAGTATAATTGATTTGAAATATTTTATACAAAAAAAAAACCAAATACAATAGGTAGCAACAAGATGGTATCGAGCACCAGAAATAATGTTAAATGCTCGTGGTTATAATAAACCAATTGATTTATGGTCAGTTGGATGTATTTTAGGTGAAATGCTTAATGGCAAACCATTATTTCCTGGTTAGATAAATTCTATTGATATAATTAACTTTTTATTTTGAATATTTATTTTTAGGTAAACATTATATTGATCAATTAAATTTAATTCTTAATGTTGTTGGTTCTCCGGATGAACATGATTTAGCTTCAATTATAAATGAAAAAGCACGAAATTATATATCTAGTTTAAAAGCTCGTGCTAAACAACCATTTTCTCGATTATATCCTGATGCTGATAGTGGTGCTTTAGATTTACTTGATCGTTTATTAACCTTTGATCCAAATAAACGTATTGATGTATCCGCTGCTTTAGCACATCCATATTTAAAACAATATTATGAACCAAATGATGAACCTATAGCAATACATCCATTTACTCTTGAAATGGAAATGGATGATCATCCAGTAACAAAATTAAAACAACTTATATGGAATGAAACAAAATTAATTAAAGAACATATATTATTACAACAAATGCCTATTCGACCTTAAATAAAGAAGAAGACGAAGAAGAAAAAAAACATATTGCCTCTCGCTCTTTTTTTTTTAATTTATATTTATCAAGGGCTGGTTCCTTGTAAATTTCTCTGAACTATTGTTGTTGTTGTTTTTATTGTTGTTTTGTTCTTGAGAAAAACACAGAAATAGAATGATTATTTAATTAATAAAAACAATTTGATTGTTATATAGTTTGTGAAAAGGAAAACAATCTAAAAATGTAAGAAACGTTTTTTTGACACTTATTTCAATACTCATATCAAGTAGAATAATAAATTACTCTATTAAATATTAAATATTAAATATAGAGTTTTGCGATTAACATGATCGATATATTTCAAACTAGTCAATGTGCCTAGAATTATTTTTGACCTCGATGTGTCTACTTTTAGTTATTAAATAAATGTTTCTAAAAATAGATTCGTCTGTTATATTGCCACAAATATTGACTTTAGTTTGATAAATACATAACGTTCACTTTATATTCGACAAATATGATTATCAAGGGAATAAATAAAAAAGAAATACTTTCACGTATGTGAATTAATTAATATGTCGGTAGATTTAGATATATATATTTTATATTATGTATAATAGTAGATAAATCTTTCTAGAGTTCAAAAGATTCAGAAGTAATGAATTGTTAAGTAAATATATTTTTGGTAGTATTCTATAAATAAAATAAATTATTAGGATAAAAATAAACAACACTCATTAGAATGTTGTGCTACTAGAACTATTAATAGTCTGCTAACCCCCACACAATAGAGAAGTATTTTTTCTAAGAGCACTGTAAATTTAGAGAAGTATACTTCTCTGTTCACAATGCAATACGTGACTATATTAAGCAAAAACTTAGGTGGGAAATAGAAATGCACTATACCTAATGGAAATTATATACTACCTATTAGTTTGAACCTATCTGGTAAATATGATAAGACAATGTAAACGTTTTTGAATATCTTTATATATAAAAATGAAACGTAAAAAATCAAGAGTGACACAAGTGAACTTCACTTAAATGCAAAAATGTCGACCTCGAATATTTTTCTGTCAAATTAGAATAGGTATTTATCTATGACACTAAAACCATCAGAAGATTTCTACAATATAGTAATCAAGTATTAACCTCAAATTTATGAGACAACCAGCGGGTGCAATATAATGACAAGACATCATCCCTCATTTCCTTTTCATAGTCTCTATAGTTTTACAAGAATTTCATCATTCTACTTTTCTTTAACATTTGATTACTAAATAATATATTATTATTTGACAGGAATCTTCATATCGCATGACAATGTACGGTATCTATAGAAGACTTGTAAATGTCAAAAGATCTTTCTAAAATCTTTTACTTTATTTCATCAAATATCACAAACAAAAAAAACAAACAAAAATCTTAAAAGAAAAAAAAGCAAACTGTTTTTAATTCACCGTTGTAGCTAATCACTTGTTAATTCTTCTGTTCATTACGTTTATACACTGCATAGAATAATTTTTGAGGATTTGTTGTTTTATTTAAATCATAATCAAATGTAGCTAATAAATCAAATCCAACTGATTCTAATTGATTTTGCCATTCTTGTCGTGTTTTATATTGAATTGTTTTTGTATAACTAATTATCTTCTTTTTCTGTTCATACCATGTTACTTTATCATGTTTATCTGTTGAATAATCTTTACTAAATTCTCCGATACGTGCTATAATCATAATTCCATGAATAAAATGTAGATATTTTGTTATTAATGAACGTTCTAATTTACAATCATGTTCACGTATTATAAGATAACCATTTGGTTGAATAATACGAGCAAGTTCTTTAAGAAATTTTTCAATATTTGGTATATGATGAAGTGTAACAAGACATGTTATTAAATGAACAGATTGATCGCCTACAAAAAAAAACAAAATTCATGTATGAAAAAGAAATAAAATTTGAAATTTTACCAAGATCAATAGTCGATTGATTTTCGTCGATTGATACAAATGTTATCTGTGGGTTATTACTATTAAAAACATCACCACCAAAAATATTTTCTTTACTTAAATTAAAATATTTTCCTATCTGAGCAGTTATTAAACCATTTCCACATCCTAAATCAAAGTAACTTTTTATAGAATCTTTACTAATTAGTTTTTCATGATTTAATTTTGATGAAATTTTAAATCTTGAATTATAATTTTTATCAAATATGGATTTTATTTCATTGAAACGACTTTCGATTCTCGATGTTTCTTGTCGTTTTAGTAATGATGTTTTTGCACCTATTCAGAAAATATATTTATATATAAATATAATATGGAAAAAACCATTTACCAGGTATTTTAGATAGTCTTTCAATTAATATATTCAAAACATCAAGTTCATCATTTGTATTATATAAACTTTCATTCCATAATCTATCGAAATGATGATGAATATTTGCTTGTTGACCATAGATTTTACCAATATATCCTAGTAATGCATCACAATATAAACGATTTGACCATAATGATAATCGATTTTCCCATGAGCCCATCCATCGAGTGAAAACATAATCATGTGGTGTTTTTATAGGTGTTAATTTATTTTGATTCGAAGTTGATTTTGTTATTGTTAATGATGATAATTGTTGATTTAACATAATCGGCAGTAAATAATAATCTTTGCCGATGACGAAATTTGTTGGTCATTTGTTTTGATTTACGAAAAGAGAAAAATAGAAAAGAAAGAAAATACATATATATAATCGAGGGTCAATTCGACAGTTCGAGAATCGTGAAAAGAAAATAGTTATTATAGTGAAGCTCGTGTAAACAACGAGTTTGTTTTCTTTCGAGGCAAAAGAACAAGAATATATTTCAGAGATAAAATGTCCATTGGTCATTGAGTTAAAGAATTAAGCATACATTATTCTATTTATTTCATTATTTATAAATAACTATAGATTTAGATGTTATTGTTTAGTTTAGTATTTTTGAATCCAGGATATGGAAATTTATTTGATTCGAGTTTTTTGGCAACGTTCATTAGTTTTTTTTCACAAATCCTAAGTGATAATTTCGGGACTCGATAAGGTTAAATTTGTATTTTAAATATTAATACATTAGTAAAATATCGAACTTTGCTATTCATTATTCTTTAAACACAATTCTTTCTATTTTGTATTTGTCAACAAAAAATAAAAAAGACGAATATTTCAATCTAATATTGCAACGGCAAAAAAAATATTTCGAAATAAAAGGTGAGATAGTCCATAAAAAAGATAGATTCAATATACTAAATAATTACCAAAAAAAAACACACTGAGATACATTCAAAATACACATTTAATCGATGGATATAAGATCACACGAGAAAACGAAAGGAAAAGAAGACCTAAATGGATATATTTACCAAATGAGACACTCTAGAAAAAGAACACTCATAAAATAAATGAGAAGACAGAAAAAAAAATAAAAATTTTGATTTATTTATGAAAAAATTGTAATCACTTCGCGTCCACTACCACGCATTAATAATAATCTATCTAAACCTTCTGTTAATACATCAACATATTCCATATAAGAATATGCAGCTAAACTTGATTGTTTTGTTGGTGGTGATGGAAGATTAATAAGAACAAGTTTTGCATCACGTGAACGTTCACGTATTGCTTGATTAAGTCTTACAGCTGAATGCATTTTACGCATTGATGATTCCGTTCTAAGAAAATAAAAGTCATACTTTAAATATTTCACATAGTTTTATATATTGTTCTTACACATTTTTTTTCAAAGTTTCCAATTGACTTGGTGTAAATGTATATTGATTTTTCTTCGTTGTTTCTTCATTACTATTTTTTCGTTGTTGTTGTTGATTATTATTCGTCATTGTTTCCATAAAAATTTGAGGCTAAAAAACATCATCAAATATATTTAGTGAAATACTATATATGTATATGATTACTTTGCTTGTTCGACGTTCAAATCCAATTGCCTATATATATGTATATATTAGTGACAACTAATATTAAAGAATAAAAAACTTACTTGTAGTTGTAATTCTTTATCAGCTAATTTTAAATCTTTAAGTAATTTAACACGTTCCGCTAATTTTAATGTTCGTTCATGTGCATATGCTGATATTTCTTGATCTGCCTATAAATACATAAATGTTTTAGTACTTATTTGAATATTAAAATAAAAAAAAACAAACCATTTCAACAACATCAACTTCAGTTTCAATACGCAATTGATACATATATTGTTCAAGTTCTTTTTTCATTTCAACTGAATTATCTTCCAGTTGTGCAACAGTAAATAAACGTAATCGACAACGTGACCATACTTTATTACGTTTTAAAAGAAAAGCAATAAGAAAAAGAAGACCACCATCATGTATAATCCACCAAATATCAATTGTACCATCTTGAATATCTTTATTATCTGGAAAATTGTCAATATTTTTTGGAACAACTACTGCACATTGACGAGCTTCAGCAATAGCAATAGTACCTATTTAATATTCGTATATTATATTAATCAATATACAAAAAAATAAAAAGATTCATTTACGAATAAATGCATCAGCTGTATAACTATTCAAATCACTTTTCCAGTTCATTGGCCAACAAAGTACAATTGTATTTGGTCTTAAACCACCTAAGCCTTCTGTTTGAATTCTATTTATAATAATAATAATATTACATAGAACTATGAACAAAAATCTACATACAATGCACTGATACCATCTTCAGCATCTTTAGCAGCTAATACTTCTGCAAAACCTTGTACCTTAGCCTGAGCCAAACCAGCTTTTAATAACTAGAATATGGTATATAAACTAATTTGTTAATAGACAAAATAAAATACTTACTGCACGAACTGGTTCGATATGTTGATGAGTATCAAGATAATCACCTTCTAATATACTTGCAGTTACAACTAAACCTCGTCCTATATGAAAAATCATAGATAGATAAAATTTAAAACTCTTCCAAAAGATTTACCTGCTTTAAGTTGATAAAGAAAATTCAATATTCTCGTATGATGTAATACATATGTTCCATTCTCATCGTTTCTTTGTGCATTAACAAATGCCAATAATTGTGGTCTCCAATTTTTTGTATGTGGTTCAGCTTCATCAACACGAAATAATGCATAACGAGCAGCTGACATTGATAAACCACGTATACCATCTCCCCATTCTTTTTCCGCTCTTTAGAAATATTAAAATGAATATAAAACTTTTCAAAAGATTTTTTTCTTCTTTTATACCCTTTATATTCAATAAATTTATATATGACTATTGCAATAAGCATTGCAACAAGTGCAAAATACCATGAAGCAATAAACATGATTGAAATGCAAAGAAATAAACCTATTACAGAAAGAGTCCTAAAGATTAAAAAAAAAGAAGAAATTATTGATTTAGACATTCTTTGTTTTAATTTTACCAATGATAAAAACGAAAACGTGGTCGCCAACTAGGTGCTTTTAATATGGTTTGTAATGCACAAGCTAAATTGACAAATCCATAACATAATAAAAAGAACCTAAAATCATATTAAAAAAATACTATGACAGAACATTTCATGCCGCCTTTGTGTATATTTACATGGATAATAATGCTGTTAATTTATCCACATCAGCAATTAAAATTCCACATTCACAAATGAATAATGTAAGAAAAAGTGCTGGTACTGGTTCTCCTCGATAAGATTTGGCTAACGGCCTAAGTATTGGAATTAAATCATCTTTAGCTACAGCTTGTAATAGTCTTGGTGCACCTATTGAGAAAAAAAAACTTTCATAAATAAATAAATAAATTATACTTAATGCTTACCGGTTAATGTTTGTAAACCGGCTCCAACAGTTGAACAAAATGCTCCAACCATAATAACCCATTTACTTGGCCATGCTAGAACTGCCACAACTAACTGTTTATTAATACTATCACCGAATTTATCTCTTAATAATGAACCATGTGTACAAGAAGCTAAAAAAATCACATTTGATAGATCTAAAAATAAACAGACATATATATATATATGTTGAGAATTAAAACGAAATAAGTCATACATATTGCTGATGTTGTAAGTATAGCAGCAATTGTTCCACGTGGAATACTTCGACTTGGATCTCGTAAATCACCACTACGATTTGAACCAGCCATAATACCTAAAATAAAATAATTTTATGTATGTTTTTTGTTTTGATTTAATTTTAAAATTAATATTACCAGTAACAGATGGAAAATAAATGCCAACAAGTATTAAAAAAGTTGTAATTTCTTGTGCAACAACTTCAAATGTTGAATCACCTTTTATATCACGTTCAATTTCACCTTCACGACGATAATGTGAAAAAAGATTTTCTAGAAAACTAAATTATTTAGCTGATATTTAATTAAAATAACGAAATTAATATACCTGTAAATTGCCAATTTTTTAATCCAGGTACGCCTGCTTCAATTCGGACATTATCTATAGTACCATTGGATGTGCATAAAGTACTTGTTGTTTTATTGCATATAAATGAATAAAGTGGACATAATATACGTTCATCTCCTTCCATACACGTTCTATTTCCATGACAGTAACGACGAACATCATTGTGCAAGATATTCGATTTTATTAGATGACTTGGATTTGACCCAACAAGACAAATACTTTAATAGATATACAAAATTATTATTTTTTTTAATTTAATTAGCTAAATAAATAGATTTTTAACTTACGGTAAATCAGGTGGACTAAATGAACTTTTAATAACACCAGCATAGATAGCTACGATAGAGATCAATACCGCAAATAATGATAATGGAGCAATTCTTGTTACAAATCGAATACCAAGTAAAACACAACCTCCAATGAGTAGAAGAAGTATAGTACCATATATACGATAATGATTAAAAGCTACTGATGGTTTTTCAACATCATCTCCAAAAAGACGACATTTCTCTGGACACATATATTTCTTAATGAGAAAAGAACATGTTTAAAAAAAAAAGAAGCGACTTATGAATAAAAATTCACATACAACAATGATTTCCACAGCTCCAACAATATACATTGAAGCAGCAAATGTATTACCAAGATAAAACAATATGCCTACGGCGCCACCAAATTCCGGTCCAAGTGAACGTGATATCATAAAATAGGCTCCACCCGCTGGTACTATACCATTAGTTGCTATAGCTGCCATGGAAATAGCAGTTAGAAGAGTCTATATAATTAAATAGAAAAAGAAAATCTTCAATGGTTTCAACTAAAAACTTTTACATACACATGAACTACAAATAACGACAATTAGAAGTGTTTGAAGTGCGCCAGCAATACCAATTAACCAAAAAAGACGAATAAATACAATAACACCTTAAATATGTATATATGTATTAATTCAAAATGAATATTTAAAATTAAATAAATTACCGAATATATTTTGAACACAAGGAAGATAAACACCGAATATAGTACCAAGATTTGCAGATTTCTAAAATAATAAATAATTTATTTTTGTATAAATTTTTTTCATATTCGGCATACTTGTTGATCTGGTGGTGGTTTCTCAGCTTCAGCTGCATTAGGTACAATACCACCTTTATAATTATACAATTGATCAAGTACTGTTCGTGGTCTGTGATCACGTTCCTTTAAATATTTAGTATATTAATCTTTAATTTGCGTCTAATTAAAATCTTTTAAAACATACTTCATAAATATTTTCATTGAATTTACTAGAACCATCAGATTCTTGACTAGTTTGTAATGGTATTCTTTCATGTTCTACTAATGGATTCGTGTTATTAATAGAGTCTAAAAATAATTATATTTCCTATAATTATACATGCAATATCATTAACGTACCACTGTCATTGACATCTTGTACTTCGCTTGATTTAACAACTACAAAACGTCCACTTTTTTCCGTAGATGACAATGAACCTAAGAAAATCCGAAATAAGATTTTTTTTCTCTTCTTCTTTTATATCAATAAATTGATCTTTTACTTACTCATTTTAACAAGCTATTATTTTTTATGTTCTATGCCTTTTAGATTTAAAAAATGTAAACGCATTTCTATCCGCATTTTTTTACATTTGCTATTATATTATGGTTGTAAAAAAGAAAAGCGAAGAATAAAGTGCATATAATTGAATATGACATTTCTATAGATTGTATATAAGGAACATGTACATACATATATATATATATATTTATCTGTCAAAGATGCACACATGAAAAAGCAATTACGAATATATATTTAATATCTTATTATCATCAAATATTTATATAACTCATATTTTATGTATGAAATATTGATCAAAAACTCTACTTTGTAATACAAACCTTGTCTTGATGTTGATGATAAATCATCTTGAATTATACTATTTCTTCTTGATGAAGAATTTTGATTATCATCATAAAATTTGACATGATTTGAAGATCGATCATATGAAGCAATTGTTTGATGTTGATTCTCGTTTGTGCCGGATGATGTTGCCATAATCCTAACTAATGCACGAACTATTAATTTACGTGTGATAAATAAACAAATAAACAGAAAGAAATGTTATCGTTTTCTATGATTTCTTACGCTGTTCTCTTCTATATTTTTTCTTGCCCTTCTCGTCTACCTGATTATAGAATGGTACGATGATATGCTAGTCGTAACAACCGTGGTAATCGTAGATATATGAATCGTGATGGTAGCAGTAGAGTTCTTTCTAATGCTTGCTTATAATCCAGTTGGATTTGTTGCGTTCTCCTTCTTTCCTGTTTGTTTGCAGATTGTCGTTCTGAAGCAACTCCTTGTTATTGTGGATGCTACGTCAGTAATGTGTAGATTCTTAATAACATTCGAATCGTTGGTGAACATGGAAGTATATAATGAAAAAAGAACACGACAACGAGCAGATTGTTTCTCGTCTAGAAATAAAATGGAAAAAGAGAGATCAACAAAGAGATAGAAAAAAAATATGTCATTATTTTAGTTTTTTTTTTACATGGCACATTTTAATTTTTTTTAATAATATAAGTATAGAAATTCAGATAAAAAAAGCTGACACATTCTTAGTATTCACACGCATATACATGGAAATAACAATAAAAGCATAAGATAATACGATGTATACGACTCGTGTATAGCCTCAGGCAATAAGCAAGTGCCTTATGGAGCTAAGAACAGAAATACATTACTTATGTGAAGTATGACAATGAAGAATTCTGGTCATAATCATAATTCTCAAAATCTTGTGTCTTTTTTCTCACATCCGCATCGTTTCTATTTTTTTCTCTTTTTTTTTCTATCACTATTATTATTATTTTTTTTTGGGAGCTTTAGTATCTGCTACGCTCCTTTTCCTTTCTGATTTTTTTTTCGAACAGAACTCATTTGTCGTCATCAATCGACAATGACAAACTACATCATTCCTAACGACAAGATTAACAAAATTCTTACATATGATTTATTTTTAAAATAAAAAGAATAAAGGAAATTAAAAAAAATCATACTAAAAAATTTATTGTTTAGCTTTTCATGTCAATCTTATTTCTCGTTCGTCATAAAGTATTGTTTAATAAAATTAAATTTGTCTCGGAAAATTGATTCTATTCCGCAAAAATTATCTTGATAAGCATTATCCGAGTCGAACTCATCCTGAGTATGATTAGATCAAGTAATTGATTTTTCTTATAAAATCCTTTTCTCTTCTGTTATTCTCACCCCTTCTAACATTTCGGGATTTCTGCTTTCTAAGAAAAAAAATTTCCATTCAATATGCTTAATCATACGGTCAAGTAGTGTTCTATAGAACAATTAGAATCTAATAAAGAAAAAGGAAAAAAAATTACTTATCTATGCTAGTTTTTTATGTTCGGAAATTCTATTATCCATTTACAAAAGATTAATTCCTTAAACTTTTTAGAAATCCTCTGTCTTTGATTTAGTTTGTATGTCACACACATCCGAATATACCTGTTTTCTATTCATTAATTTTTTTCACTACATTAATAACTAAAACAGCTAATGTAGCATAAATAATTAGTAATGTCTTTGCATATATATGAACTCATATATATATATATATATATACATGCTCAAGACATGATTGCACAGGGATGCAGTAATGATTATCATTTTATGAATTTATACTATTTCGATCAGCACAACAACAACAACAACAACAGAGACATCAATAATAATGATAATAATAATAATAAATACCAGGGTTCTCTCGCTCTCTCTCTCTCTATATATATGTATATATACACCCGATCAATAAGAAAAGTCAAACACTCCGCATCATACACAAACATTTGTTTTGTAAACGCATTCGTTAGGGATCACAGATGAAAACAATTGTCAAGAAAAGACCTTCTTTATCTTGTGTGCAGGAAACTGCTCATAGGGTGCTGTCACATCAACACTTACTTGCAATAAACCATAACAGCTAATAGTGTAAGAAGAAATAATGAAATAATGGCATGCCTTATAGTCCGCACTTCAATAGAAATTTTAATTATAGTTCGACAAAGAACAGTTCTATATTCATATGCTATCGAAATATTATTAGAACTCTAATTGTTTTCTGGTCTTTCTCCTTTTCTTTTATCTTTATGTGTTATTTTACACATATATATATACATGATTTGTCAGTCAGACCTCTATTACAGTACATAAACGAGATAATCACCTCTGGGTATGATGATCATAGCTACTCGTTCTCATATATATATATATATATATAACCTTGTATTACATTGATATAAGAACTATGAATCACAATTATCCTTTAGTATTACACAAGTAGATGGAACTTTTCTTTCTTATATGTCATCATAGGAAATATAAAGAATCCAAACGCAATTAGTAGCTATAGTATTTGTACCAAATCTTCAATGGAAAAAGTCTGTCGCTTTGAATAAAAAATGATTTCCTGTTTTTCTTTATAAGTAATATAAATGAATGCAAGCATTGTTATTTTTATTAATTGACATTTTTTTAGTTTATTGATCAATTTATTAAAAATTATAGACTTTCTTTATTCTATTTTAAAAACTATTCATAATCAATAATTATTACAACATTTATATCATATGGCAAAAGAGAGATCAAATATCAATCAATCAATTAGTATATATTATTTATTTTAATGAAATTCTTTCTTTTTTTTTACATATAAAAAAGAGGTCGCTTATGTTCGTAAAATACGAAGTCCATTGCTTAACAACCATGTTTACAAGTGTTTTTCACATGCATATAACAAAAAAAGCCACTTCATTTCATAACAGTATCAGTCCTTCTATTGATCAAACATGGCGTTACCATTTTTACCTGGCAACACATTCGAACGAAAAGTAATTAATAAGTTTTATAATCAAAAACAAAAAAAATTAATATAATTTATTATTTTTCTCTTAAGATTGGCAAAGATAAATTTCATTTAGCACATCAATTTGATAAATACAATGGGGTCGCCATGCAAACAGGTACTCAATTGGGTGTTGGTGGTGTACCATTACCAGGAGAAGATCTTCGACCAAAAAATTCTGTTTATCCCCGAGGTAGGAAGATTTATGAGATTAGCATTTATATGATTATTAATATCTATTTATTTATAGGCGAAGGACCTGATCGACCAGCTTGGCTTGCTTTTGATAAACAAGTTCTTTGTTTTGATGCTTATTTTCAAGAATCAATAACTGAACGTCCACAAGAACAATATCGTATTCGAAAATGTCGAGTTTATTTTTATCCAGAAGATGATACAGTTCAAGGTATTTGATTTTATTTTTTATAAAATGATGACAACATAACAAATTATGTTTTTTTCTAGTTGTCGAACAACGTCAAAATAACGTTGGTTATCCACAAGGTACAATTCTTAAACGTCATCGTATACCATTATCAGCACCAAATGATGATCGTTTTTATACCTATGATCAATTTAATGTTGGATCGGAAGTATCATTTTATGGACGTATATACAAATTAATTGATTGTGATGCTTTTACACGAAACTTTTTAACTAAACTTGGTGTACGAGTACCACCAGGTAGATTTCAAAAGATATTCAAGAAAATTTTGCTTACTAAAATTTTAATCTTAGGTTTTTCGGCACCGGAAGATCCATTTCTTAAACATCGTCAAGTAGTAAGTCTTATTCGTTTGTGCACCTTGGAGGACAAAAAAAAAGTTTTCAAATAGAATGTTAATTAAACTAATTGAGTTGCTACTGATGTAATATAGTTAATACACAGTTGTTTCCAAGACTAGACTATTTTACTTTCTTTAATTTTTGATATTATCAGCTTAACATATGTAAGAGTTTTATAAGACATACTTTATGTCGTACTATTCTTTACAGAAGTATTAAAGAGATTATTTTCATAAGCTTGACATCGAGATTAGTGTCTTGATTGAACGAACAAAAAATAGTTCTTGATGAAGTTTGACCATTAGATTAAAACATACGGAATTGAGTAAAGTGTTTCTTGCTTCTTCATAATTCTGATATGAAGCAAGTTCTATACATTGCACAACCACTTAAATTAATGAATCCGATTAGTCGATATAATTCATTGATAATCGTATTAACAAAATTGTTTATAGATTCTTTCTATTGTATTGTTCTCAGATTTTCTGTAAACTTCGACGCTAGGATTTCATAAATAGTCTACTGACCAATTGACAATACGACTATTTTATCGGATCAATCGTTTTAAATATCACTAATATAGAATAAATCCGTCAGAAGTTATTCGAAAAAAGAAAAGATTATCATATATAATATGTATTTAATAGGCCGAAGGTACTCAAAATCCACTTCGACCATATGAAAGAATTGATACATTAAAACAATTTATCAATCATGATACACATGTATTACGTTTTTGGGGTGTCTGGGATGATTCAGAAAGTTTATATGGTGATGTACGAAATTTTTGTGTACATTATTTTCTTTCTGGTAAGAAAAAAAAATACAAATTTATTTAATAGGAATAAAAAAAATATATTTTCATTTATTAATAGATGATACCATGGAAATTCGTGAAATTCTTCCACCAAATTCTGGACGTGATGCACCACCAACATTTCTTGCTCGAAAGAAATTACCAAAACATTTTGAAGGATTACCGTTACCAGGTGAAACTGCCCCACGTACAGTACTTAATGTCTTTGGACAATTAAATAAACAACGTTATATTCTTGATAATCTTAAAGTAAATTACATTAATGATTTAAAAAAAAAGAAAAGTTTTGTTTTTTTCTATTCTTGTAATTTATAGACAGGTGCACTTGATCAAAAATATTATACTGATCAAGATTTAGCTATTGGACAATTGATTAATGTTTTTGGACGTAAAGTTTTATTAACAGATGTTGATGAATTTACAAAGAATTACTATCGTACTAAATATGGTATACAAGATTTTACACCAATTAATTATAATAAAGGAAACAATTATCAACAATTGAAACAAACTCATCCATGTAAGAATAGAAAAATTAGATTACGGAAAAAAAGTCTTAATATTAATTTTTACTTACATATAGATACGGGTTTTGGATCAGAAGAAGATTCATTAAATTCAACAAAAAAACTTCTTCCCGATCCAGTCAAGAAAGATTTTAATAAATTTATGGGCTTTGATCGGTAAGTAACATAGTTTATAAGTAAATATTTGAGATATATAAATTTTTAATTTACCATTTCTTTTTTAGTCAAGCACTTCAAAGCTATGTACTTCGTTTCATGGCCAAAGTAATGACCAAAGATCCAATACAAGCTCAACGACGTTTTATTATATCATATTTTCTAGCTGATGATACAATTAGTATTCATGAACCACCAAAAAGAAATTCAGGTAAGAAAAAAAATTCAAATGTTAATAATGATTTTTTTCTGTTTTTCTATAAAATAGGTATTGATGGTGGAAAATTTCTTGAACGTCAAAGAGTAAAAAAACCAAATCAATCACCATATCCAATTGAAGTATCGGAATATTTTGGTGCAAAAGATTTTTATGTTGGAGCTCGTGTTTTAATTAATTCATTTGATTTTAATTTATATGATGCTGATGAATATGCATTCAAAACTATGGAAACTGAATCCTATCTTTTTCCAGTTGCAAATCAAAAGTTAATTGTAGAAAAATTACGATCAATTCTATCAAATAATCCTGATGCTGCTGCTCAATTTGGACAACATGATCCACAACATAAAGGTTATTTTGGTTATGAAACATTTTATTATTTAATGAAAAATCTTGTTGGAAATCAATTGGTTGATCATGAAATAATAACACTTGCACGATATTATTCGGAGAAAAGCAGTAAAGATCATGATATTTTTTCAATTGTTGGTGTTGCTCAAGAACATTTGAGAAAAAATAATTATGAACATTTCTTACCATTAAAAGAAAATTTTATTTCACGTGATCGAAGGTAAAAAAAGCTTTTATTTAAATTATTCTAATGTTTTTTTTAATTTTCATTTAGTGGAAATGGTCGATTACCTGCTCAAGAAGTTCGTATTGCTATACGTTCCGTTCATGTTCCTATACCTGATTATCTTTTAAATATAATCATTACTCGGTAATATTACTGAAAAAAAATAAACACTCATTGAATATTTTCTATTTCATTATTAGTATGACTCAAAATGATGGTACTATTGAATATAATGATGTACTTGATGCATTCAATTGGCGTCAAATGCCTGTTGCAAAACCTGCACCATCTAGTGAACTTGAACCAGTTGAATCTGCTCCAGCACATACAGATGATCCAAGAATGTTAGATCAAACAACACATGAACGTAAAAAATTTAATGTTCAATATGCACTTATGCTCAATGATCTTGGTTTAAGCAATTCATATACATCATCAACATGTGGTTCATGTGATAATTGTGATGAATGTAAAAAATAATTCGTACTGATAACTGAAGAACGTTCACATATATTCCATAAACACTAATAATATTTACTTATAATATGATTTTGTTTTTTATTTTCAAACAATAAATAAAAGAAGTGCTTTGAACAGAAATCAAATCAGTTGTATTATGAACAGTTATAAAGATTTTCTATTTTTTCATACGAGAAAATTTCATTTTGTTAAATCACTTTCATTTCTAAAATAATCTCTAAATATACTCGTAAACTAAACAAATCTCACACAATTGATCGATATTTTTGGAAGTGATGTGACTACAAATTTCTTTCTTGCTAGGTAAATAAGTGATAAATTATCATCGGTTTTATTTCAGAATTAAATGAACAAATATTTAACAATCTGAGAAGTAACTAAACATTGAAAATATTGGTCCATGTATGATCTTATTAATTATCTGTCAAATTAAGTAAAAATAAAATTCTTAGATTACAAGGAAGATTTTTGTAATTTTACATGCAACTGATCAATTTGTGTAGGGTATTTGTAAAACACGCGATGACCCACAATAACCCCCAACTCAACAGCTGATATTATAGGTAGGGTGGGTGTGGGTGTGGGGTGTGTGTATTGTTTTTATCTCACACCCATATCCACATATATTGTTATGTCCTGATCAGTACATAACAATATATGTCGTTAGTAGTGGTATTCTGGTGTTTTCTATTTGTTAGAATCACTTGAATATTCTCGATTATGACGTCATTTTTTTCTGTTAAATTTCTTATATCTTGATAATGCTACTGAGTTAGCGAAACATGCCGACTTTTAAAATATTAAATAAATTTATGACTATTAAATATATTTAATAAATTTATTACAATGGTTAGTTTTTTTGCTACTGTTAAATCTATAGTATTTATTCTTAAATTATTACCCATTAATGAAATTAATTAAATGATATTAAGTCTGTGAAGTACATCACTATAGGTATAAAAAACATACGTATTCGTATTCGACTAGGTGGTGATTTCATGAACGCAGTGTACGTTTTTGAACTTGTTGGTTTCAGCTCCAACTATCCATGTATTTTCTGTGCACAGCATAAGGATGGTCTTCATATAACTGAAGATAAAAGATGTCCAGGAGTTGAGATTATTTGTCGGAGGTGGTACAAACAAAAGTTGATCGGCTGAACGAAATGCATTTTTTCTTTTGATGAAGCCATATCATTCATTAAATAATGAAATTAAATCATTCAATAATACCGAATTGCTGTGTTTCTATGAAAAACTTGTTTGTCATACAACCCAGGACGATGGTTCCTGAAGCAGGATTCCATAAATTCCCGGCGAAACCCCTGAGGGAACTCGCCGTTTCCGTGCCGGATTGTTCGACCTGGGTTGCCGAAAAAAGTTTTTTGTTATTATCCTGATGACGTTTGTTTTAAAATAAACAGAAGCCGGTAGAGAAATTAAAAAAAAGTTTTTAGATTTACTTGAAACCAACAAACAATTTATTTAAAAAATTTTTTTTCGTTTTAAAATAAGAAAAAAGTAGATATATATATATAAAGAATAATTAGATTCAATATATATATACTTGCTTTTCCTCTAATAGTATTAATATTCTACTTGAAGAACGCCGACATAAAATGATAACTGAAAAAGTTTGTATTCAGTTAAGATTTCACTAGAATTATTTATTTTTACTTAAGTATCAGCGTGAAATTGATGAATATGTTGAAATCGAATGTATTAAATTACTTCATGAACATGCTCATCGTTTATTAGGATATTTACCAAAGGTAAAAAACATATAATAGATTTAATATCAAAACTATGAGGTATTTTTCCCATCATTCAAAATATTATTCGAAATGAAAAAAGATCTTGATTTTCTTGATAATGATTTCAAAAATGATACCACATGAATTTATTTTTAATTAATCGAATAGATAAAATACGCTCATATTTATATTCATTAAGATTAACTATCATTTAGAAAATAAATTAATTCTGACGTAATAACATTAATAGGGGATTCAGGAGATGATCATCTTATGGAAAATACTGATACTCTAAGCGTAATACACTGTTTTGCAATTACGCTGTTTTACAATCATAACTAAATTACTATCCTTATCCAAAAGCTCATTATTCACTTTTATTTTTAGATTTGATTGAAAAATAATGTGGATCAAAAATCTGATTTCAAGCATATGTAGTTTCTTACTCATATATAGTTTGTTTTGACAGCAGTTGATTGAGAAAATGTTCTAAAACTATTAACAAACGTTTGCTGATATTTAACAAAGGAGTTAAAACAGATGAAACGCCTACAGTTTGCTTTGACAGCAGTCGAATGAGACACCCTTATTAAAATAAAAGCAATTTTGATTCACAATAAGGTATTGAAATACATCGATAATTACTAAAAGATCTATTTCAACAGGTAGGTTCATACAATAGAACATTATTTTATAATTCTTTGAATCATAAGTAGATTAAAACTTTAGATGTTTAACTTATCTTGTATTTAATTCGATAGAAAAAATTATCATTAAAAACAGCATACTTCTTATACAAGTATTTGAATGTCTAATAGTTATGAATAATAAAGCTTAGATATCCCATTAAACACGAAGTTTAAATACTTGTTTCAGTATGATAAATTAATTTATAGTCATATGACTACTCTCATTGGTTTAATTAATAATCTTTGTCTTTTAATTACAATTTCCTTAACATATATTATTATTAAGAAATAAAATATTCTCAAGCGCATGAATCTATAATTAAATTTTTTATTGCAAGAACTTATAACCTTATAAATGGTAGCTACAATCTAGGTCGTATACATAATGCTCATTAATTTAAAAGTAAGTAAATAATCCCTTGGTAAGAAAAAATCCCTCAAGTTTTTATAAAACTCATCGATTATAACTCATAGTTGGAAAATAATAAAATGTTAATTTCTTTTCTACAACATTTGTTCGATACAATATCAACAAAAAACGAATAGTAAACACGGAGTAATCTCACGTGATTTCCTTTACATTATTATTTTTCACCATCTTAACATATTTCTACTTGTTATATCTCAACGTTTAGTATTTCCATATAACATAATAAATAATTCTTGTAAAAATACGACACTTTTTGACTACATTCGTAGAACAAAATGTGTTCTGTTATATGACACACACATATATATATATATATATTAATTAAAATGGTGTTTTTTGTCAAGCGTCGTATGAATATACTTCTTAGTCGATATTATGCAATATTATACTAGCAATTTTAATAGATAAGAAAAATTCTTACAGTATTTGTTATTGCTATTACTAAAAAAACGCATTGATGCTGAAAGAATATGTAATAATTTATTTTATGAAAGAATAAGTTCATGTTTTGATGACGATAAGAGATTATTCATGCATTGAGTTCGTTTCTGGAGTTTGTTAAAGTAAAGAAATTGCGTACATTAAATTGTCTCGACAATAGAAATAACCAGCAGACATTATTTTTATTTTTAAAGGACTAAACTTCAGAGACTTTGATTTATAGTCATCTTAAAGAGTTCATTTTGACATGCAATCTATTCTTCTCTTAGACAAGAAAACTTCTTCAGAATATTGTCTTTCAGTTTATAAAACAATTTTAATAAGATATGAACGCTGCATATAGAGTATGACATAGTTCTTTTTATCATGTCGTTAGGATTACTTTTTCTTAAGATTAGACATCATTACTTTATTTTCTAATTAGAATATAAAAATTAAATAAAGTAAGAATATGTAGTGTATCAAATTCTTTTCTTTTCATTGATTAATGCATCAAAACAGAGACGGTTCATTGTATTGTTTAATGTTCTTTCAATAAGTTTTAGAACATCTAGTTTCCTATTTTGGTTAGTGAAAAATTTCTCCACCCACGGATTTCAACGCATTCGAAAGGTAACATATATTTTACTCTAATTATTTTATATTTATTTAGTGGGATTTGTTGATGTAAATTGAATCATAAAGGATAATAATAATTTGTAGTAGGTGTAGGAAGAAGCATCGATGATAGTATTACGTGACAAATCGACGCAATACTTTTTGTATTCCTTATACCTTTCTTTTAACATAGATCTAATGATGAATGCTTAACTACCAACATGATGAATGACGAAGTGTACTTCCGTTACGTGTACACTCAGGAAGCTAACTAGTTTCACTAAACATATAACACGCGAAAAGAAAGTATAGAGAAAAAAAAATTAACTAAAGCTATAATCAAACAGTATATAATAATAAGTATATATATATACCGGTGATATATATCTTTTATAACAAACAGATGAGTTCTCTTCATTTTTGTTATTCTTATTATTATAAACTATATAAGTAGAGACTAGCTATGCGTCATATGAGAATGAAAAATTTTTAGTAGTTTGAAAAACAGATGTCTGCTTTTGATCAGTATGTAATCATCCATTTAATTGTATATGATATAATCGTTCGTCTGAGTTTACAATGACAAAGCTTCTTTTTTTTCTAGATAAAATAATCGTCATTGATATATGTTCTAACAATTTATTATTGTTAACTTATTAAAATGAATATAACGAATAATAACAATAGTTCTTATACACCGATACTTTTTGATCAACAATTAAGATTAGTTGAACAAATCGTTTTAACAACTATGTTTATCTCAGCATTAATTGGTAATATTCTAGTATTAATTGTTATGTTAACAAAAAGAAATCGACGAACAACACGAATGGCTTTTTTTATACTTCATTTAACAATAGCTGATTTACTTGTTGCCATTTTCAGTGTTCTGCCGATGTTTATATGGAAAACGATGCCAACATTTTTCGACGGTGATATCATATGTCGACTTGTGACGTTTCTTATGTTATTCTCAACATATATTTCTGTTTATACGTAAGTTTTTAACCATCTAATGTCATATTGTACTTTAAATTAATTATACGATTTAAATATTTACACTAAAAAGAAATACTTAACCATACAATCACGCTATGTGAATAGAGAATTAAAGAAAAACTGCTTTGAAATATTTTAAGTTTTTTTAAAAAGAGAATTTAATATAAATTGAATAAATAATTTATTTTATTATCATTTTAGTCTTGTTGTCATGACGATTGATCGTCATCAAGCAATTGTTCATCCATTATCAACATATACTTGGACATCACATACAGGTCTTTTCTATATGATTGCTGTCTGGTGTTTAAGTATTATTCTTGCATTACCACAATTATTTATATTTCGTTCGGAATACGATCCAATAAATAAAATTAAAGGATGTCGAGCTAAATTTCTTGGAACAGATAAAACATGGGAATTAGCTTATATTGTATGGACAATAGTTGTTCAATTCTTTTTGCCTATATGTGTATTATTATATTGCTATGGTTCAGTTTATTTAATTGTAAATCGAAATTTTTCAATGTATCGTTTATCTGATAATGCTCGGACAATGAGTATGGCAAATTTACCTGCAATTAATATACCAAAAAATTTAAGTAATTTATCATCATCAATAATTACATTAGATCGAAATTTAAAGTCAATTCGTAAAAATCATATACATATTCATTATCCATCTGTTGAATGTTCAAGTGTATCAACTGTGATATTTAATAAACGACCTCCTCCATCAGTTATGTATCCAGTTGTATTTCGTTTACGACGTTCATCAATTGAAGTACCACCATCACCACATTATAGTTCAATTAGTTTAGATAGACCAAAAGTTCAACCACGTTATGGTGCAAGTCATTTTTTATCGCGAGCACGTCTTAAAACAATTAAATTAACATTTATTGTTGTTCTTGCTTATATACTTTGTTCAACACCATTTTATATAGGATCGATTGTAATGGCTGTAAATGGAAAATTTTTATCACAGAAAACAATGAACTGGTTGATGACTATTTTTAGTCTTTTATTGAATTTAAATAGTTGTTCAAATCCAATTATATGTTTGACATTAAGTAGTACATTATTTCGGTAAGAAGAAATTTTCTTTTTTTAAAATTTTTAAATAAATATAAATATATTTTTAGACGTAAACGTGATCATAAAGAACCATTAGTTGTATCAAAAAAAAGTCAAACAAATAATGAAAAAAATGTTCTGACACAAAAGAATCAAAATCTTTCAAAACATTTTTTATTCTTATAAATTTTTGTTTTCTCTTTTCTGTGATATATTTTGTTCGTCAGTTTGTATCAATGTAAGAGAAATATTTCAACAACAAATAAATAAAATGAAGTATTTATTTAATTAAAATATTTTAGCGTATTTTTATTGTTTTTCATATAAATTCATATTTTATTGCGATAACTAGATCTTGTTAGCATTAAAAAAGTTTGTACTTAAACATACCTTCTTTCCACCGAGTGGTTCATTACTGATATAATTTGGAAAATATTATTTATCCATGAACAATCTTCAGGTTTTCGAGTATATTGTGCTAATGAGTAATAATATGGGTGTGAATGTACGGTTGACATGTCAGTGATAAAATATCAAGAGTTCTCATAGTCCAAGTAACTAAAATACGTAATCAACTTATAACAACAATTATTAAAGTACTAATGGTGAACGTTCTTACTTAAAGCTATGTCGGATATACAGTAAATACTTTGTTCAATATAGTATGTTATTTCATCGAGAAACTATTCTAATATTTAAATTAAACTGAATTCAACGCATTATATTCATCCAATACTATAAAATTCAAATAGCATAGATACATTTTGTGATTAATCATATTTCCTTTTCAATAATTCTGTTTATCACAATTTGATGAAATAGTACGAAATTTTCTAAATAGAAGTTGGTACTTTCCGTTATCAAAATGAAAAAACCGTTTCTTATTACTTCCTTAAAGATGATTCATTGTCATGCTTTAATACATTTTCTATCTTCGTGACTACTTTCATTTTAATAAAACTATGCTTAATCAATCGTGCGACTATTCTCCTTACAATGATACCGAAGAAGATATTCCACATCGAGAACTCTACATTAAACAATTAGATTATCTAGCTGACAGATTTAATTTATTAATCGAACGTCAATTACACAGTATTTTAAAACAAAACCTGATTGATGACATAAGAAATAATTTATTATTATTAATTCATGATAACTATATAACAACAGAACAATTCCGTGATTTTAATCAAACATTTAACTTCTTAAATAAAAAATGTAAACTATTCTTAAATAAAAATCAATCTATTAAGCAAACAAAACAGTTTCTATTACAATCATCGATATTATCCGGAAATAAATTTTTCGAATTATTAATACAAGATGATGAAAGTATTTATATCCTTGATAAAAATTTAAATATAATTAAATATATTGAATGGAAATTAAATTCATTATCAAAAATAGTTAATAGTTGTTGGTCGACAACATTAAATTCTTTCCTTATTCTAACATCGTCAAATTTATATACAATTAATAAAGATACATATGAATTACATGATATTGGTAAACAAGATTCTTATTGTGCTTGTACTTGTAATCAATCATATTTATATTTAACAACAGGAAAATTAATTGAAATATATAACATATTTGATTTAAAATATATTTCTTCTTGGGAAATACATGAAGATAATGAAATAATCGAAAAATTACATTGTTTATATGATGAAGAAATAATTGCTGTTTTAACATATGAAATAAATCTTCATACTGGACAAAAAGAAAAAGTTATTTATTTTTTTCATTCACAAACTATGCAATATTTACATTATTTATCAATATCATCGATTCAATTTGAATGTTTATGGATATTTATTGGATATTCAATATTTAATAAATGGAATATTATAAGATTTTGTACCTCTTCGCCGAAAAAATATTTCATCGAAAGAATTTTTCTCTTCACCCACACTTTTGCAGCGGCCTCCGAACAAAAAACCGTTTTCGACGAAATCTTTTTCGGCGAAGAGGTTAGATACCTATTATAATGAATTTAATAAAAAAGAAAAGAATTATGATGAAAATTGAATGTTTAAAAAATAGTGGTGAAATAAATTTCTTTGTTGATAGATCAATATCAAATGATATTATTCATGCAGTATTATTAAATCATGATATAATAGTAATACAAACCGATGATAATAAATTTTACATTTGTAATATGACAGACTATTAAAATTAAATTAATCATGAAAGTTTTCTATTTCTTTATGACGTGGGTTATTATTATGTTTTTACCTTTCTGGGATATTTAAACGAATATCAAGCGTATAATGTGTTTAATGGAAATATCATGTTATTTTTTTGGCGAATATTATCATAGAAAATAAAGCGTAATCATAGATTGTTCTGAAATGAAGAAAAAAAATTCGTATTCATATAAATTCTAGCTAAATGTGTTGTTATTTATTCAGGTCATGTGTAAATATTTTAAATTAAAAGACTTTTATTTTCTTAAAGAAAAAAAGTGCTTTCATATTGTTTCTTTTTCTTATAGAATGCACTTATTCACCGTGCCTAATAAACCGATGAGAAAAAGTAGGACAAGATCAAAAAGACATGTTAGAAACGTTAAATTAACAGAGTCCTAAAAACAAAAGTATTCATGCTCACAATAAGAAGATATTTACTACGAAAATTTTTAGTGTATTAATTTTGTAAATATTACATATATTTTCATACTATCTAAGTTTATAAATGTATTCTAATCGAATGATTTACGTATAAGTTAAATCATAAGGTCTATTGGTTTTTAATACTACTTGAGATATTTTTACTTGTGTTCGTTTTTGTTGAATTTCAAGACAGTAAGCAGTATGATTGTTATTAATATTAAAATATTCGAATGTTTGACTTAAAAGAATCGCCTACTAATAAAATATTTCATACCAAATAATTTGCCTTCGTAAACATATCGAACTTTCAAGAAGATATTGCTCAAAAATATTTTAATGTAATCACATGTTGATTTCATTTAATTACATATCATCAAATACTCATAAGTTTTCATAGTTATTGCTTTAATAACGTCAATTAATATCACTTTATTGCGTCGTTGATCTAGAAAAAAACAAACCTGGCTTTTATTTTTAATGCGTAAAAAAACATGATTGGCAAAACAATAGGTCGTACCTAAATACTTTATAATTAGCTTCAATAATAAAAACAGATATACGTAGAAAGGAGTCATGATTATTATTCAGAAAACGTTATTACGACATAAGGTAAAAAACTAGGTTTGTTTACAAGGATTTATAAACGGCTATATAAATAATACACAATCGAAAGCAGATATATTACATATTTGATTTATATTTTTGAAATTTACTGATACATACTTATCATGAATAGTAAGTAGCTTTTTAGTCTTCTTTGATTTATTTATATTTGATTTTGTTTTGTAAATAGATTTTATAAATAATCGTATTGAACGCAGTCTTGGTATGGATTTAAATGGAGATGGATACGTTGGAGGACAAGGTAAGACTTAAATATACATTTTAAAAATCCACCTTTCTAATTTTCTTAGGTTTTATGAGTCGGATAGAGAAAGCTACTCATATTGATTTCAATGGTGATAATATTATTGGTCGCCAACCTGACATCATGTATGGTGGTTATGGTTATCCATCACCATACCATTATCATAATCACGGCGGTTATGGCGGTTATACTGGATATAATCCTTACAGTTATGGTTATAATCCATATGGATACTATTAAATGTTACTAGGAGACACTATCAATTTTTTTCTTTTTTAACTAACTATTATGTATATATTAAACTATTGATAAATAAAAGATATTTAAATTAATTCATTAAGACATTAGTTATTTTTCAATGCATTTTTCCTATGTAGCACATTACAGAAAACTTGTTTTAGTGCATGTTATTAATGGTATATAAATATTTGTCATTATCCTCAGTTAAAATTTATAATCATATAATAACTGAGAATAACGTAGAATAAATTTGTATATTTTCATTACAAAGAAAACGAACGCTCTACTTGAGTATTTTATATTAACAAGAGATATTTATATCATTGATGATTAGATAGAAAAATCTTATACAACTACAATCTCAATACTGATGATATTGTAACGTCAAAAGAATCAGTTATAACAAAAATGAGAAACGTATTAAATAGTTACTGTATTTTACATGATAAATCATCAAAACCAAATAGTATAAATATTCGAAGACATACTAAAATAACTTTCATAATATTCATTAATAAATGTAAGAAATTTGTTGTTGTCTCAAATCGTTCGTATGCTCCAAGTCAAAAATAACTTGATTCAATAGATTGTATTTAGATAATTTGTTATGCATGTATTCTTTCAAACTGAATAATGTTTTGATCATAATCAAATATATACATGAGTCATCGTTTACTATATAATGATAAATTTTATAATTTATTACGTATTAAAATTATTTAAGTCATTATTTTGTTTTCGTGAATAATCATGCAATCTCACTAATGAATGAGTAAATGTTTTCTACTCGAGCTGTACAGTAAGTCAAGCTAAAACCTGACTACGAAAATACTCATTATGACGAAAAAAACATAAAGTCACTCAAGCAGAACTTGACGTCAAAACTCCAGTATTGAAACTACGTCAATCATTAAACGAACTAATGCGACAAAAAACCAAAAAAAAGCGACTATATAAACGAAATACAAATCAAAGAAAATATATTACATATTTATTCTTGTAACTTTCTTCGTAAATATATAAACATTCATAATGAGTAGTAAGTAATTTTTAAATTTTTTTTTTGATCTATTCATATTTTATTTTGTTTTATAAAACAGATTTTATCAATAATCGTATTGAACGTACAATTGGTATGGATTTAAATGGTGATGGATATCTTGGAGGACAAGGTAAAACTTGAAAAATATTTTTCAATCAATATTAATATCTAATATTTTATCAGGTTTTATGAGTCGAGTGGAGAGAGCTACTCATATTGATTTCAATGGTGATAACATGATCGGTCGTCGACCTGATATGATGTATGGTGGTTATGGTTATGGATCACCTTATGGTTACGGTGGTGGTTACGGTGGTGGTTACGGTGGTGGTTTTCCTGGACAGTCTCCGTATGGTTATGGCGCACCTGGACAATATAGTTATTACTAATTGTGATTATGAACATTTTTGAATTTTTCTCATTCAAATAATCACTATCTGTATTAATAAATAAAAACATGTCAATTAATCTCATATAAAAGTTTCTAAACATGTCTAATCTCTGACATTTTCATCCATAAATAACAAAATTGATTCGATAAAATCAATGTATTCTTTTCTTCCAAGGTGATAATGATTAGTAAATGTATGAACATAAATTGATTACTTATTCAAATAAGAAGTCTATCATATGAATTTTATTTTAAACATCTGAATTCAAATATTACAAGAACAAAAAAAAGATAATTCATTTTTATATCACTTCAAATTCATATACAAATAACCATAGCTTATCATTAGTAATTCTATGAATAGACAATAAATAGAAAATATCATCCCATTTGAAATAATTAAAAAAAGAAAACAAATAACAAACCTTACATTGATAACAAGACAAAAAAAATAAACTCGTTATGGAAAATGTTCTATAAGCGTAGGTGGAGACTTAATATATATATAAATATAAATAATTGGAATAAGAAGTGCAATAAGTATAATAGCTCCAAGTATATGCCAAAATCTACAACCACAATCAGCACCATCACAACTAAAGTCATTCTTAGCTTTTATTGTTGATCGTATCATCATGACTGTTTTTGGTTGATCAGGAATTAATGTTGTTGTTGGTGTTTCTATTAATTGTTCAACTTTAGCACGCATTAATGCTAAATCTTGATCCATTGCATTTAAAAAAGCATGATGATTTTGTTGCGTTAGATGTGTTATTGGTACTGTTGTATTCGTTGTTAACTGTTCATGTAAATCAACAATTGTTGATGACTGTTCATGTAATATACCAAAACGACGTACTGGTACTCGACAATATTTAAGACCATAGAAATCTTGATCATTTTGTAAATTATTCAAACGTTTTAATTGAGAAATCTAAAGGACAAAAAGACATTATCGTTTATATTTATAAATGAAAATTAAAGGTTTTAAGAAACATACGGGTACTCGATATCGGATAGCAAATGCTTGAAGACTTTCTTGAGGTAGAATAGGTTTTTCAACAATTACAATTGAACCACCACCATGTGCTGCTGGTGTTGATTGTTGTTTTATATGACGAGAACGTACAATACGTTGAGTATTTAATTTTGTTACATCATCATCATCATCCGAATCGAGCGTTCCTAGTTCAATATTATTACTGTCATTTTCAGATGAAGATAAAAGTGGTTCAGATAAGGCATTCATTTCTTGAGCATGATTATTAGTTTTCAAGTGATTTTGCCGAGATTTCTTATTTTTTGTATTTGAATTCGATTTCGAAGTAGAAAATAGAGATTCTTTAAATATATTCATAATATTAAATAATAATAGAGAGTTAATTATAATCAATAATTCAACAAAAAATATATGATATAATTGATATTTAAAGGAGACGAAGAATAATACATATGTTTGCCATGTAGACAATTAAATATTATTTAACATTAGTGAATAAAGACTATAGTAATACATAAAAGTTTGAAACACGTCATATTCTTTTTCAGAAGACAAACAAGACAGCACGCACGAAGATTGGTGTATAACAGTCGCTACACATACACGTAGATAAAATGAGACAGGAAAGAGGGCGTTAGACGATTCTTTTGACAGTGGTAATTATCACAACTAAATTTTATTATACGAAAATATTTACTAAGAAATACAACGGATATGATGTTTTTTTCTTAATTTCAAAATTTACCAGCATAAATAATAAAGATGTAAAGTATACTGCTGTTAAACTTTGCATCGTATTTGAGATACAAAATTTCGTTTCGATCTACACATTTGTTCTATTATTTGTATATAGTATATCGATTGAAAAATCAGACTATTACGATGCATATGTACTTTTTATGTTGTAAAAGTTTCAAGTTGGGAAATTACCCAATATAGTTATTCGAAATGTAAAAAGTCAAATCAAATCACCTGACTGATATTTTATTTGGATTTTGTTAATTTCAATTTTTATGTAAATAATATTCCAGTTATTATAAAAACTAACAAAATTTACTTCGTTTATATTGATTAAAAATAGATTATAAAATCACGGAAAACGTTGAAACATCTGAACATTTCGTAACAATCTATTATTGATCTGTGATCAACTAGGTTTTTTTTATAACTTCAGATAATACGCTATAATTGAAGAAAAAATCGGAAAATATACAAATTTATAACTCTCAGCCGAATAGAATGTATGTAATTAGATACCTACAAAAACAAGAATTCGACTGACATTTTTATGATTGCATTGAAGTCGCATAGATTATAGACTTTGTAACTCATAGTTACGATCGATGAAGACACTACATGTTCTTTATTCTATCGTAAAAGCCTGTTTTCATATCCATTTAATGAAAATTGACAGTAGTTTTCTCAATATTTTATTGAAACTCTAAGTTACCATGGCTTTAACTTTTTGATTTTATTCTTATATCATCGTTTTTATTGGCTTTCAATAATAAAAAAAAATGGATTGATAATTCTTCGTCGTATTACTGCATAAAATATCTTACTGGTACAAATCTTCTGTACATGTAAAACAAATAAAATAAAATGTCACTGAAAACTTAAGAATAATGTGAATAAAACAACAAAGTCTTTTCTTCTGCTTATTAGCGACATCTATTTATATTATCTAAGAGGCAAACAAAAGCAAGCTTTTTCCTCCTTTTGCATTTATATCATTTGGTAATTTATGGAACAACGAATCTGTTTGCTTGTTTATTTCTTTGAATTGGAATACTATCATAATGGTCAGTAGTTCTTTCCGGTGTCGGTACCTATTACAATGTCTAGTCGACAAAGGATCTATGTTGGTTTGGCAGTCTCAGCCGGAGTTTGCAGTGGTATAGCTTTATTTCTCTATTTGCGTCATCGTCGACAAATAGCATGTACTTAATCCATATTCTATTTTTTTTCGATAATTTACTCGTTTTTTCTTTGTAGTATCCAAAACTCCAAATGCGAATGATAGCTCTCCAACACGAACCTCACTTTTATCTTCATTAAAATCTCGTCGTGGTCGCGATTACGATGATATAACATCATCCGAAGCTGACAGCGCTGGTTCAGAATCTGTACGATTTCAAAGTGGTGGTAAGATAGTTTTAATCTAATATTTTTGTGAAAAAAACAAAAAAGAAACTTATTAGGTGCTAATATTGAAGTAAAGATTCCCGGTGGTGATACTCCATTAACAGCAGAACAAGCCATCCTATTAACTCGTTTTCTTGATGAAAACGAGAATGACATCGATTTATTACATCGTATTTTAACAAATATTGCAAACGCTGGAACCTTCAATGAAAGTAAGTTTCTGTTTTTTATTACATCGTCTTTTATGAGCTGAATACTTAGAGAAAAAGGGTAGTACTAGCAATGTGTAAGCTTAGAATTTGACAGTGACTTTTGATTGTGATTTCCTACATAGACTTTATTGATCGTTAACAACGGAATACTTCAAATCCAGCATTTATTCATACAACTCTTAATGCTTTCTGACCAATGACATTAGAAAATTAGTATGGGGTGTAGCGAAGGTGGTAAAATATTTTAAAAAATTGTACAAGACTCTTATACAGTACTGTATACATTCATTAATCTAATGATATACGAAAGAAATCGATAAGCTGTACTCTGACTAAAAAAGTTTAGTTTTACTGTAGACGTCATTCTAGTGTTTTATTTATTTTATTAGATCAAGTCTATCTAGCAAATGCTGGTTGCATTGAACGACTTCGCGAACTACTTTTAACAACAGAAAATGAAACAACAAAATGTAAAATACTATTAGCACTTAATAATCTGGCTTTAAATGAGCACACTATAACTCATTTTTCGGTATGATAATAATTCTTTTTATAAACACATCTGCTTTAATATTATATTCATTTAGGATCTTGTTTCATTCGTTATTAATCTATGTCGTACAACTCCGTCCAAGTCACTTGTACGTCTTTATGGATTAAATTTACTAGTAAATATGTCTGTACTTGAGCATCTTCATAATGAATATATAAAAGACATAAATGAACTTGGATCTTTAATTCAATCAACATTTGATAATAATGATGAAACATTATCTGCTGGAAAAATTCTTGTTAATTTATCTACAAATAAACAAAATCTTGAAAATTTATTAAAACTTACTGTAAGAAAAACAGGATAATTAATAAGAAAAAAAGAAAACGAATTTTTCTTTCAAGGGTATTGAAATTAAAACAATTGTTCAAATATGTACACCAAAGAAGAAAATAATTGATAGTGATGAATCTTCAAAATTAGAAGAAAATCTACTTCGTTATTTAACATTTTATTGTAATCTTGCTGAAACAATTGTTAATGAGCTTAAACTTGAAACTAAAAATCAAAATTTATGGCTTCTTGACCCAATACCATATGGACAAGGTGCTGTTTATTTTGAATTATTTGATCATGTATGTATTTGATTATCATTCAGAATTAATAAAATTCTTCTTCTTCGTTTTTTTTTTCAGGATACACAAATGTCAACGAAATCTATTCTCCGTCCACAATATCAGTCATATACAATTAATAATCAAATAAAACGACTTCGTCAAGCAATGGATACAATTCGTCAAATACAATTTGATTCAACTGTTTCATCTGTTCAAGATGAATTCGATGAAAATGAGCATACACCTACCATGCCTGATTCTTCAACACCTAGAAAAAATCCAACAACACTCGACGAACTTAACCCTATTGATGATTCATTAAATAATTTAGAAAAAGATTTCGATGAAGAATTTGCAGATGATGATACAATTCAGGGTGGTGATAGTACACCATCTAATCAATCATTAGCTAGTTTTTCTTCAGCTCTTTCGACAAATGAAAATAATACATTTACAAGTCCTGATAAATGAAACTCAACTTCGAAATCTTTTTGTGTTTGCTTCCTTTCCGCTCTCACTGATTGATGATTCCTTATCAAACAAAGCCCAAACCCTGTTTTTGATAATAGTTTTGGAAAATTAGTTTTGTTTGATTTTTTTTCTAGATTTATACTAACACTCAACAAATTCTATCGTTATCATGGGTGTCGATCTTGATCATCGTTTTGATCGTAAAGCTGTACGACGAGCACCACGCTCAAAAAATTTATATTTGCTCTTACTTGTTAAACTTTACCGTTTTTTGGCCCGTCGTACAAGTTCAAAATTCAATAGTATCATCTTAAAACGTTTATTTATGTCGAATACAAATCGACCACCACTTTCATTATCACGTCTTGTTCGTCATATGAAAAAGAAAGGTTTGTGGTTTTATTAGAAATAAAAGATTTCAAATAAATATTTTTTTTTAAAGGTCGAGAAAACAAAACAGCTGTTATTGTTGGTTCAATTACAGATGATGTTCGACTTTATAAAGTACCAAAACTTACAGTTTGTGCTTTACATTTGACTGAACGTGTTCGTGCAAGAATTCTTGCTGCTGGTGGTGAAATTTTAACATTCGATCAATTGGCACTTCGTTCACCAAAGGGCAAAGGTACTGTTTTATTACAAGGTCCACGAAAAGCCCGTAAAGCCAATCGATTCTTTGGTATGTCTTACAAAATACATATTTTTAAATAATTTTTCTATTTATCATTATTTCAGGACGACCACCTGGTGCTCGTCATAGTACAACAAAACCAAAAGTTCGCTCCAAAGGTCGTAAATTTGAAAAAGCTCGTGGTCGACGAGCCAGTCGTGCATACAAGAACTAAACAATTGTCAAGTGGTATTATTTTCAACTTTACCATTCATTTTATCCATCAATATACTATTGTTTTTTTCTTGTATAAAACAACATAAGAGCAAGATAAGAAAGAATAATAAAAAGAAAAACAAAAAAATCTTTGTTTACACATCTTTAAAGATTTCATAAAATCACTAATATTTCTACTTACTTGAATTCTGATGCAATGATCATATATGTTAGTATGGAATACAATAAAATCTTTTCTATGGATATTCATTTTTACAGAACAGTAAAATTTCGAACAAATTATCAAGTAAAACCTTGAATTGAAATATTCAGATAAAAATTTCACTCTATTCAAAAATCCTAAATAATTATTACATTGTGTTATAATTCTAGCATGTTTATAAAAGACAATCTTTTAATAACAATAAGTGATACTTTACACTATAATATAAAAAAAACAAAATGTATATATATATCCTATCGATTATAATTAACTGAAATTCTTTTGTCTTAACTTTTCATACTTATCTTGCTTAAATGGTAAAATATACACACATAAAGAGAGAGAAAAAATGTATACAAAAACAAAATTGATAAATGTCACTCGGTTGATTCGTCGTTGTTATCATCGTCATCATCTAGTCCAAATAATCCTTCTGGTCGTCGTAATCGATAGAATGATGTTAGCATACGAAACATAAATGTAGCTGGTACAGTTATTGTACTTGATGTTTCTTCTAACATTGCATGATTACGTTTTATTGTACGATTAATAAGTTCACTATCATCAACTGGCGTTTCAGCCAATGGTGAAAATAATTTTATATTACTAAAATATTCATAAATAGAATAGAATTTTTGAAAAGAAACAAAAAACTTACTAATCAATTCCACTTGATGCTAATATTGGATAATCTAATGGATGTGGTTGTACACAATTCACTACATGTTCATCAGCTTGGATAATTCGTACAAGTTTACCAGTAAATTTATTCCAAATAAATATATGTCTAAAATTAAAAATCAATATTATTGAAGATAATGATATGTTTTTTTTCCATTACCCGCAATCAGAACCAGACATAACATAAGAATCCGACCAAAAATTTGCTTCTTTAATCATTGTACGTGCATTACGATGGCCAGAATAAGAATTAATTAAACCTAAACTAGGAACATTTTTTAATAGATTTTCTTCATGACGACGTTCTGTTTCACGACGTTTCATTATACGATCCCATTTTGCAGCCATTAATGGACGACGTGCACGTCCAGATGTAGGATTATTATCTGTTGTTAATGTTGATGATGCTGCTTGAGAATCTTCAGTATCTCTCTAATAAAATGAATGATTATTTATAAAATATCTAAAAACATATCTTACATCATCATCATCATCATCATCCATACTGTCTTCTTCTTCAACTTCATCATTGATTTCATCTTCACCATCATCATCATCATCTGCATTATTTTCTTGACGATCTCGTCCAAATAAAATATCAAAAAATCCCAGTCTCTAAATGTAAACAAGGATAAACTAAAATAAATTTATTATAGTAAAACTAACGTCTCGACTATTTTCTGATTCTGTATCGTTTTCATTAATATCATCATTTGTTGTTGTTGTTGTTGTTGCTGCTGCGGCTGTATCTTCAATAGATGGAGGTGATTCTATAATAGGAGTAGTAGTCACCGACATTGGTGATTCAGTATGTGTATTTTCTTCAACAATAGTTGGTGTTGAATTATTATTATTATTATTAGAAGAGACTGCAGGTTCACCTTCTTCATTATCTGTTCCAGTACTCGTAACTAATTGTGTTAATATATCACTCATACGTTGCATAAAAAAGTTTTGTAAATTGCGACTTCGTGCTGTTGATTGTTGTTCATCTGAATTATTAGTATCAGTTGTTGCTTGTTGCTGTTCAGTATTACTAGGATTAGATGTTGCTGTTGCTGCTGCTGCTGATGCTTCAGTTTCTTGTTCATTCATTGGACGAGAATCAGGACCTTTTATTAAAATAATAATAATAATAATAAAGAAAAATAAAATGATTATGTTTACCTGTATCACTCCAATCACCACGAAGACGTAATCGTTTAAAATGCGACGGTTTCTTTTCTGGTGTTGTTGGAGACTCATTTACTACTGGCGGTTTACTTTCATTTACATTTGCTCTTGTTTGTTCCTCATTTCGATGTTGAGTAAGCCGTTCTTGACTTTGTTCTTGTGATATTGTTTGTTTTGGATCAAGTAGATAAAGGGATTCAGATGAGTATGATGCTAAAACTTCCGTACCATTTGGATTAAATACAACCGATGTTATACGTGGTGGACGTTTTTCTTTACGATCCATTAATACAAAACGAGATATAAGACCACTAATTGATGCTTCACAACGACGAGCCGTTGGTGTATCAGCTGTTGATAGAGTAGAAAGTTTTCGATGATCATATAAACGAACTGACTTGAAAAAAGAAAATGAAAACGATTAAAACAAGCTAGAATATGTAAATTCATTTAATATGTTTTAGCCAAGGTCATAGTTCTGACTCTGGAATACGGATCAGTTAGAAATATATTCACTCGTAATTTAACAACATTACATACTTTTTTCTGTATAAATCTTTGATAGTAAAATTTCCTGTGAAAGAATTAAATTTTAATTTATTAATAGTTTTCTTTGACGTTTACGTGTATCACTGATAAGTACAGATTGGAAATAGTAATTTCATTTCTTTTTCTTTACATTTCTAATAGAATTAATATAAACTTACTGAATCAGAACAACCACAAACAATTTCATTTGGATTCATTGAATTGATATCAATAGATGTAATTGCCCATTTACTTCTTATAAGTATATCATCATTACAATGAGCTTTTAAACAATTACTTTTTGTTCTTAAATCATATAATCGTACCGTACAATCATCTAAATTAATTTTTTTAATATAAATAAATTAAATATTAATTTTTCGATAAAAAATAAATATTTACCAGAACATGAAAAAAATAAATTTGGTGTATGTGGAATAACTCTCACTTCATAAGTTGTTGCCGCTCCATGACAAGTAAAACAACCATCATTACTATGTGTATTGGGTGGTCGATCAAAATCTGTATGACATATAACACCATCTCCTGAACATGATATTGCACGACGATCATTTGTTTCTGGTAAAAATTTAGCTGAAAATATATTTTCTCTATGACTACTATGTACACTTGTTAAAATTTTTGTTGTATATGGATCAGTTACAATTAGATGTTGATCATCAGAACCAGATAATATTGCTGAACCACGTTCATTCCAACATATTGTATTTACACAACCTCGATGTACATTTAATGTTCGATCTAATTTAAGCCGGCGAGTTATTGAACTTGAATTTTTTAATTTAACTAATAAACGTCGATGAGATAGAAGACCATATTGTCGATCAGATAAATAAGGCATCTGAAAAAGATATTTTAACATAAGCATTTCTCATTTTGTTTATCCATTTTTTATTGAATATGAATGAAAAAGAAAAACCGGAAGAAAAATTTGCCTAGTACAATAAAGAAAAAAATATTTAACCAAATATACGCCAACGTGTTGAAGGTGATAATTGTCGTTGTATTGTATCAGATATTTGACCATATGAACGCATATTATTTAAACCTTTACCAAGACCAACTAGAGCTAATGGTGTACTAAATATTCGTCGTGCAACTTTATGAATATCTTCAGGTTGTACACGACGTATTCGATTAAAATAATATTCAGCTTGTTGACGTTTTCCAACAAAAAGTACTTGTCTAGCAACATCTTCAAAAACAACTGGTCGTTGTTCTAAATTCATGAAAAGCATTGATTGTAATTGTGTTTTAGCTCGTTCAAGTTCAACAGTTTCAGGTGGATGAGAGACAAGATAACCAATTTCACGTATAGCAACATCAGTCATATTACGAAGATACGATGGATAACCACCAAAATGAAAATATAAACAACCAGAATCAGTGTAAGCTTGATTGTATGATATAGCTGTTTTGATTTCTTCATTTCTAAAAAGATTCTTTTTGTTATGTCTTTACATTTTAATTGAAAATATACCTGTTTAAAACATTTGTATAGAAACGTGAATAAAGTCCTTTACCGGGACCACCAGCACTAAATGAACCACCACCACCTAACAATTGACTTAAAACACAAGCCGAAACAAATTCATGTTCTTCTTTATGAGATGGAGCTATTTAAAAATTGATGATTTTAGTTATATTTTTAAAATATACTATAGAAAATTTACCTTCAAAACCAAGTCCAATATGAGCAATTTCTGGTAAAGGATCAGCACCAAATGATAAATGACTACGATCAATTTCTTCCTATAAATAGAAAATAAATCATCATTGAATTCATAAACGAGAATTATTGACAGAGAAACAAAAAAGATTTTCTTACCATAAGAACTCCACCAGTCCATACAGCTTTATTATCGTTCGAAGTTTGTTCATCAATAATTTTCTTTTCATTTTTTGGCACAGAAAAATATTTTTTTCCTAAATCAACAAGTTGTTGATGATCAACTCCAACACCGGCAAGTACCATTCGTTCTGGTTGATAAAAGTCTTTCATATATGATTTTATCAAAGATGCATCTATTCGAGCAATATTATCGACAGGTGTATATTTTGGTAAACCTAAGGTTTTATTTTTATAACCAGCCTAATATATGAATTAAGAACAAAACAAAAATATCGAAAGAAAAATCATTTACTGCATGTATCATATCAGTTATAAGAGGTGTTGGATCATATCTTCGATTTTTTAAATCATCTATTTCATTAAAAATTGCTGCTTGTGTACCTTCAATCTATAAAGAGATTATAACCATTAAACAAAACTATGAGAAATTCGGTTACTTCTTCTGGTAATAATTTTGGACGAAATATTGTTTCAGAAAGTAATTCAATAACACGTTCGAGACCACTTGTTCGACATGATAATGCATAGATTATGATATCTCTATAAGATTAATAATTAGATATATAAACAAATAATTAGATATTTACCTTGATGTTTGACAATCACATATAGCATTTACTTCATGTAATGAATCGATAATTTGTTCACGATTTTCATATTTTTGTGTCGACTAAAAATTATCATTGAAATTTTCAATATAAAATTTCATATTTCTTTTTCTTACCATAAATGCTAATTTTTCAAGAAAATGTGAAACACCACTTGTATATTTTCCTTCAAACCGAGGTCCACCAGAGATAATAACTACAATCAGATGAATTAGTCATGTATACATGAGATAAATATATTTTAAATACCTCCAACAGTGCAAAAATCACCAAAGAATTTTTCTGAAGCAATCTTTAAATAAAAAATTAAATAAATAATTTTAGTTAACATTAATACAATAAATACAAACTCGAAGACCATTATCGAGTGTTGTGACATTTGTTTCATATCGATTTGCATCCGCTACTGCATATTTTACTGATGGTAATCCTGAAGGAGATTTTGATAAAGCTGGAAAATTATAAACTGTTGAAATCGTTGAATCACGTCCGAGACTAGGCGAAGGAGATCGATTATCTACTGATGAATTATCTATATGACGCAATCTAATTGAGTTCAAACGATAAGAAAATAAGAAAATTTATTAAATGAAATAAATCTACCTGCGAATTAGATTTGGTGATGTTTGTCGACAAAAAAGACGAACTGCTTTTAACATTTTCAACGATAAATTAGGTATAATTTTCTTCTAATAGTAGTAGTAGTTCCACTTCTACGCACAACCTTAAGTTACTATATTTGTTTTTATTGGTGCAAGAGATAAACGAATACTTTGTTAAGTAAAAAAGTTATTCTAGCGATTTCTAGCGACGTCTGTCTGAATAACATGTCAATGTTATAGACAAGTAAATTTCCTTTCGAATTTTGTTGCTTATTCATTACTGATGAGGTTATATACTTTTCATAAATTAATTAATTGTAAAGATTATTCCTAAACAAACTAAGCATAATACAATGAATGTCACATTGATTCGACTTAAAACTGGGTATTTGTTATAAAATATTTTTTATTTGCTGAACTTTTTGTTAGATTGCTTTTAAAGTTCTTCAAATTAAGATTTATATTAAAGTTCCATTTAATGATGCTAAAGAATGACGTGAAAATTTGATTTATTTATTCAGTACGTCAAATTTTGTATGAAGATTAATACAATTCACATTCACACTCAAAAACAACAATTATTTTTTTCCAAACAAATAATTTTTAAACAGTTTTTATTGAATTGTTTCCATTAGCCACAGAGTGAACTGTTAATAAGAGGTCTGCAATGTCGATGAAACGATCACCAAGTTGAATTGCTAATTCACGTGTCATTGATCCATTGAAATTTATCAGAATTTTGGTATTAATAGTTTTACTTGGCTGCATTGATTGTTCATTAAATAAAATTTCACATGAAGAATTATCATTTTTAATACTTGTAAATGTATTATTAATAGAAACATTTGCATTCGATACGTTTGAATGAAGAGTAACGAATACTGAATCATTATTACGACTAAAATTTGATTGAAACTCATAGGATTTATTATCTTCAATATTAGCTTTTGTAGTTTCTTCTTCTAATTTGACTGTTGTTGTTGTCGTCGTCGGTAAACTCGATGTCGTCGTTGTAGTTGTTGTTGTACTCACTATTGTACTTGTTTCAATGGATGTCATTTGGGTTGGAATAGTGGATGTTACTTTGACAGTAGTTGTGGTTATATTCCAGGGCACAGTTGACATGCTACTTGTCAAAATTGTAATTGAAAAGAAGAAAAGAAAGTGAGAAATCATTTTGCATAGATTGTATGTATAGTTATTGCTCGAATATATACAATTTCTGAACAATGACCGACCATTATGCTTATGCTATTCAGACGAATGAATAGTCTATGATGAAATATCAAAAAATAAGAAGATAACAAGAAAAAACAATTTTCATTTCGTCTGTTTTATTTGTTATTTGATCTATTTTACATTGAGAAATAAAAGAAAATGTTGTCAAAAGTTTTGTATACATATTCTAATTGATTTATTATCATCATCTTTGGATTATTTTCTTATATTACATCTAATTATATTTATTTTCGAATAAAATAAAATTTCAATAACAATGTTGACATTCATACAGTTGTATGTCGCCTTTTTCTTTGTCTTACTAGCAAGACGTGGGTGAGCTATCAGTATAGAATTATAATAATTTTTATTCAAACATGACGAAAAAAAGAAACCTTATGGTATTTGTAATTTAGAAAGAGAAAAAAAAGAAATAGTTAAAGTAAACAAGATCGGATGATGTTATATAAAATTGAATAGTTTTATTCAACAGCAACTAGTTTAAAAAAAAATTGAGAATGATGCTAGGAACTACACCAGGTATTCAACCAATAGCTACTCCTCAACCAATGACCCCTCTTCAATCCATGACTCCTCTTCAACCGATGGCTCCCGTTCAACCACCAAAACCATGGAAAATAAAATTTCCAGCGATTATTTCTGGTATACTCTCTTTTCTACAATTTGGAATTACATTTGTCATTATTGGATGTGAAGTTGGTAGTGTACTTATTGATATGGTTACTGCAACAATCTATGTAGGTTTTTGGGCAAGTTTATTTTTTATATTTGCATGGATTTCACAAGCAACGACATGTATGTAATTATTTCATGTTCTTATTTTTTACTTCTATTATTTTTATTTTAAAGCATGTTGTTGTCGTAATCGTGGTTGTGCTACATATACACTTATAATGCAAGTTATCTCATTATTTTTCGCAGCTTGTGTTATCGGTTTTGATTCATATTATATAATTTATCCTACAACATGTTTTTTTTCATCATCTATATGTAACGGTTTAGGAACTACTCGTGGTCTATTTTATACATATTCAAATTTTTATAATATTAAAATACCATTAATTAAAGGGCAATTAGCTGCTGGTGCTGTTATGTTTGTTTTATGTTTAATTAGTATTGGAATATATATCATAACGACTATACGAGTTTATCGGGCTGCTAAACGACCGATTGTTTATCCACAAACAACACCGTATTCAGTGCCACCGTATTCAATGCCACCTTTACCAACTGGACCTGATGGTATGGTAATTGCTCCACCAGCTCTCAATGTTCGTCCACCAAAACCTGGTTCTCCTTTATATCATCGTCCAATGATTATTCTTGATAATGGTGAAGGTCGTACTAATGATCTTGTATGTCCAACTTGTAGTACAATGATGAATGTTAGTGTACGCAAGAAGCCACCACAATAATTTCTCGTTGAATGTATAAGACAAAAATAAATAAACTTTATTTTTAAATATATATATTTTTATATCATTTAATGAATAAATACTATTTTTTCCTTTTTAAATAAATGTTTATTAACTTAAAACACCTCATTGATTTCCATGTCCGTAAAATGAAAATACGAGTTAGAGAGTAAAAAAACTCATGTGAATAGAAATAATTGATATTTGTCATGACAGTTATATCACAAAGCAAAATTGAAAAAACAAAGAAGAAACCCTAAACATTTATTGATTAATCAAAAAACAAAATAAAAAAATGTTATTTTCGTTGTGAGAAATATAATAATCATGATCAATAATACACATGAAATAGAATTAGAAAAAAAATGGCGTCAGAAATTTCCATCAGTTCTATCTAATTTATTTGCTTTCTATCAATGTCTTTGCACTTTGGTTATTATCGCTTGTGAATTAGGTAGTGTACTTATTGATGTTTTTCATTGTACAATTTATATTGGCTTTTGGGCAAGTTTATTCTTTGTAGCTGCATGGATATCACAAATAATTGCAGGTATACTAATATTTTTCTTTAACATTATTATAATAAGAAAACTTTTAATTTAAATTTCAGGATCTTGTCGTTTTACTCGTAAATGTGCAACATATACACTTATAATCCAATGTATTTCATTATTTTTCGCTATTTGTATTATTGGTTTCGATGCATATTTCATAAGTTATCCTACTACATGTTTTTTTTCATTATCTTTATGCAATAGTACGAAACCTATTCGTGGTATATTCTATTCTACAAGTCAATTTAATGATATTAAAATATCATTAATTAAAGGACAATTAGCTGCTGCAGCTCTTATGTTTGCTTTTTATATAGTTTATATTATTATATATGTTGTAACATGTATTAAATTGAAGAGAGGCAAACCATCAATGTCAAAAATTTCAAAAAAACATCATACAACAACTCCTATTGATAACATTAAAACTGAAGAGTCCATAAAAACTGCACAAGTTTCAGTGACTGATAAAAATGTAATAAAATTGTTATCACCATCGTCTACAAACATAAATGTTTTAACCTCGATCAATAATATTTCGAATACAGTTTCAACAGAAACTAAAGATACAGATGTTTCAATTACTACGGAGAATGTAATAGAATCTTTATTACCATTAACAACCGACAAAAATGTTTCGACTCATATTGAAAATTTAATTCCAACAAAAATAGTAAAGACAGATGTTGAAATTACGAAGGAAAATACAATAGAATCTATATCATTACCAAATACAGATGTGAATATTTCGAATGGTGGTACAATAAAAACTTCTTTAGTTGAATCTGTTCGTCGTTCAAGATGGTCAATTGATTCTGATGATTTAGTTCCTATTAAAATCTAGATTTCAATAAAAACATTTGTTTTCTTCGTTTCATGTATTATCGTTGTTTTTGAGAGTGTATTTATTTAATAAATTTTTATTATAATTTTGTCATTGAATAATTATTCGATTCATTGATTCAGAATATACCTTTAGGCATTTTTTTTTTCCTTTTAAATCGTATTTTTATTAATAAATATTTTCAATCAATCAATCACTCTCTTGAATCAAACATGCTCTCCACTTATCCAAGCGAATAAAATCAAATATTCATAAATTCTATATGACTTAAGAACATTGATCGGGTCGATAAGTTTCTACTGACATCTACTTTGGCTATTTATATAGGTCAAGAACCAATAACAAATTTTCTCATGATTCATTATTGTATTAATAATATGTTATTTAACCATACACCGGCGACTAAGTAAGCAGATAAACAACAATGTAAATCAACGAAATAGGAAGAATGAGAATACAAGCTGAAATTTATAGAGTCATTCTCCGATTTATTTGCGTAGTTCAGCTTAACAAAATAACTATAGTACAGTTTATTGTTTTCTTTTTTCTTTCTCTCTCTTCTATTCTTCTATATAGAATATCAAAAGTTTTGTCATGAATCTATTGTTGAGGAATAAAAAAAGAAATCATGATTAGTTTCTTTCATCAACATATGAAATTTGATCTTATCAATCGTTTTCTAATTGTGTTTCTTGTTCTTTTTGTTTCGACCCTGACATTCGTCATGATTTTTTTTCTTGAGGAATAAAGAACATAATAGAAGATAGTGCGTGTGTATGTATTGAGTGTATAAGGGAAGATACGGATGTGTACGTCGCCTATTACCATTACGTACCATCGTTTTGCTACCTACGCTCGAGCGTGTATACATACATCGTAAGCCATAAAGTAAGCAAAAGAAAAACGACAAAGACAGATGTTCTGTTCTATTCTTTCTTTAATATGTATACGTTATTGTAGAAAGAAAGAAGAATACTAGTCACTGAACAACAGTAGTCAATGTGACCACAAGAATACTAAATAAACATTTTTTATGACCTGATTTTATTTTATTTATTTAGAATATGTTGTTAGTAGGCAGACGAAAAATTTTATTTTATATGTGATGGCATTCGATAATAATAATATCATTGATACATTAAATAATATCGACACAATGTCGATATTAAAAGAAGATGATAGTCCACAGCAGCAAATAAACGAACAGTCATTAACACAAGAACTTGAAAAAAATCGAGAATGTAAGTTTAATTCCATGAAAAATATGAAATATTTATTTATTTATTTATTTATAATAGCACTTAAACGAAAATTACAAACACGTCGATCACTTAAACAACTTGTTGATGTTGGCATTATGCCACCACCTAAAGCGCCACTACCATTTTATGAACAACGTAAACAATTACAAATGCGAAAAGTACTATAAAAGAAATATTTCTTTTCTTTTGTATTTTATTTTATTTCTCATTATCATTCTAGACACAAGATATATTAAAAAATAAAATAATATCTCGTCCTGATCGTCAATTATTAATCGAACATAATATTTTGTCAGATACAACAGCAGCACCAGCAATACAAAAAACCCAACGTCAATTAAAACGTGCACGTTTAGCTGATAATCTAAATGATAAATTAGCAGCACGTCCAGGAATATTAGAATTAGTTGCAAATAATATTTTAGAAACAGATCCAAATCTTAAAGAAGCTATACAAGGTGGACGTATTAAATTTCCAAGTACAAAATCAACACCCATATCAACACCTATTCTAACTACACCAGTTTTTTGTTCAACTGATTCTCAACAACAACGACCACTCCGTCCAAAAACATCGTCATTTTCTAATACAACTAATGGACAATCGTTTTCGTCAATTACAAAACGTTCATTAACATCAACATTAAAAGCAAAATCAAGTTTAACATTTCATGAATATAAAGGACCATCACGAAAAGTTGAAGTTACAAAAGTACCATTACAACCAACACCATCCCTTATTGTACAACCTGTACAAGCAACACTTTTACCACTTGTACCATTAGAACATGATAGTACATTAAATAAAAATCAATATCGAATACAACTGAAACAACAACAATTATTTCTTGAATTACTTCATGATACAAAATCTGAAGATAATGATGAAGAAAATATAAATAGTGAAATCAATCATGAAGATAATTTAATTGGTAATCTTCTTCAACAACCATTTGATGATAGTGTTAATATTTTATCAACAATAACGGATGATATTCAAGCATTTGAAAAAATGAAAGTAACTGATTTAAAAAATGAATGTAGAAAATTAAATTTAAGTACAACGGGTACAAAAATGAAATTAATCGAAAAATTAAGAAACGCTAAAGTGAAAATGTCAGGTAGAAAATCTTTGATGAAAATTGTTTTTTCTTTTCAATAAAATATTTATTTAGATATAGCGATTGTACCATCACCGACAATCAATACAGAACCATCTTTAACTCAAATGATCAATACATCAACTTCATCTGTTAGACTTTTAAGTAAATAAATATAAAATTCGCAGAAGAAGAAAAAAACGCATCTAATGAGAAATTCAAAACTTTATTTTTAGTGACTTTTAAAAGTGAAGTAGTCATTCGTACATGAGATTGAATGTTCGACGAATCCTTTGAAATTTAAGAATATTCTTGAAAAGCAAATTTCGAGGCCATTAAAAGGTTTCTCTAATGCGTTGGTTCCTTTTTTTAGCAGATTTAGGATTTCCTTTCTTTGTTTACATATTTTATTCATTGTTGAGCATCAAATGTTCTTTCTTTTATAATCATTATATTTTCATAGTACCACTTCCTATATTTTACATTGTT